ACGTCCACTTTGCTGATCCTCATCACAGGGGCCCCACAAGGGTGCGTGCTCATTTCCCTCCTGTTCACCCATGACTGCACGGCCACGCACGCCTCCAACTTAATCAAAGACAGGGAATTTTTACTAGGATTAAATGTCAGGAATTGTGAAAAACTGAGTTTAAATGTATTTGGCTAAGGTGTATGTAAACTTCCGACTTCAACTGTACATTTTATTCACATAGGCGTAGGCACATATAGTGATATTAAAAATATTTAAGAGGAAAGGCAAATAGAAGCAGTCAAGCGAGCAGATAGAGATAAGAAGCGGAAAACAAAATGTAGATTGATGGATAGAAACAGACAAAGACAGACAGACAGCCAGACAGACATAAAATGGCAAAGAAAGATAAAGGCAGACAGACAGACAGACAGGTAGGCAGGGATACATAGCCTGCTAGTTGTACTACCTACTCTGATGGTTTCCAGTGTGAGTCCCTGCTGGTGATGAGCTAGCTGGCTGTGTCCTGTCGTTCTGTCACACTGCTAGAGACCCTGCTCTTTATATGGATCCCCTCATCATCCCTCGGTCTGTTTTACTGTCCCCTCTGTCATCCGCTCCTCAAAAGATCCACCAGCCACTCACCTCCAGCTCCATGGAAACACAGGCATGTCTTAATGGGAATGGGCTGCCTTTCCCATTGAAAGGGGTTAACGTGGAAGAAAGAGTAGGAAAGTAATGTCATGTGTTTTTATATTATTTATTAAGTGTTTCCGGTACTATTTCAGAGCACAGACCATTGGTTTTCTTTTGAGAGAGGAAATTCTGATTAAAGAGGACATTTTAAGAGAGGAAATTCTCATGAAGGCCAAAGACGGACAACAATCTACAGTATCATGTATGCTTCAAGCGAATATTTTTGAATACATTAATGTATTTGACAAATTGTTATTTGTAAAGCTGCTAATGTGGCTATCATAAAGAACTACAAATGCCATGATGATCTGGACGAGACTGCCGAATCGAGGCAAAGGTAAGAATCTCTGGATTAACTATCTAATGTTAGCTAAATGGAGTAATTCATAAATTGGCTACCTTTCTTTAAATGGACAATTCTGTGAACTGTCTTGTGCAAGTTTTAAATTGACACAATACCTGTTAGCGAAGGTGTCAGCTAGAGGTGACATGCAGGAGCTTGCAGGGATTTGTAGTTTTGCATGTTGTCTACTTGATGCTAATTAGTATTTTCGAGTAAATAGTAAATAGAGCCGAATATATTGATAAACGTCAGCTTGTCCGAGAGAGATTTACATAGTTATCAAAACATGTTTCTAAAATCCCCTATGGGAAAAATGAATGGTGGGAAAACAATTGGAACCATTTCCCTGTTTGACCGCTAGGTTTTATGGGTATTATGACACCTCCACTGTGGGGCTCTATTAGTCTACCATAACACGAGTTGGCCTGGTTGGTTGGTTGGTTGATTGCTGTCTCTCGTCTCTCCCTCCCTCCTCCCTGCTCCCCGTTTCACTCGCTCACAGTAATTTACGGCCCCTCCCTCACCTACAAGAGCTGCAATCCTCTCTCCCTCCTCTTGCGCTTTATCAACTCTGCTTAGTAAAGTAGCTTAAAAAATAAATGTTCTGCTGCTTCCATCACTCGGATCGGACCGGGTGTGGATCCGACCAGTTCTATTCGGAACGGGTCTCTCTATATTCTAAAAATGTATTTATGCATATAGGGTCTGGGTGGGAAAGCCCCAGGTCCATTTCAGAACGAGTCCAACTTTTTGGACCCGTCAAGACCTAGACCTCTACACCAGACACCTCTTCTCCTACACTGGCTTATCATCCTTCTACTCTGACACACATACAAACAAACATGTAAGTAGGGGAACATTCCTAATAGTGTGTGTGTCTGTGTGTGTACCTGTCTGTGTGTGTACCCGTGTATGTGTGTACCTGTGTGTATTTGGGGCGGGAGCAGCAGGAGCCTCATGTTGACGGGAGAGCCCACCTGCACTCGGCTGGCTAGGTGGCTAGCGAGGAGCAGAGTGTGCCCAATTTGACTGGATGAGGACCAAGAGCAAGAGAGGGAGTGCGGTGATGTAGTGTCCACAACTAAATAATTATTGTGGAATCTGAAAAGACACTTATCCCAAAAGCTTGATGGTGTATTTACTACATGCACATGCTAAAAGAAAGGAAAGAGGTGGGCAGATAACTAAGCGTGTCATTGTAGCAAAGTATTTATAAACTGAAAATCAGATCTCTTAAACGTTTCGTTCATTTTCGTTCTATCATCTATACAATAGGCCATAATTGATCTTGGCCCAATAGGCCTGGCATATTCCCACGTTCAAGGAGCTTTCCGTTTTGATTGGGTTATTTTGCCTAAAAACCTTTAGGCCTACCTATAGAAAAAATAAAAAAAAACTCTGCAGCTCTGCCCAGCCTGGAAAGAGTGGCCAAAAGGGTGTTAAGCATCCCCAGTGGCTCTGCAAGTGTGGAGAAGAATTCTCTGCTGCTGGCCTGCTCCCCAGGCACCATCGCATGAGCCTGAAGCCATAGACTGGCCAAACTCGTGTTTCTAAAAATGAATTAAAATGCACTAACAAGTCATTTTTTGTTTAATTTGTATTTAATTCTAAGTAAGTCACAGCCTACATGCGCAATTTATAGACTATAATGATTTAATCAAATCAAATGTTATTGGTGACATACACATTATTTATCAGATGTTATTGCGGGTGTAGCGAAATGCTTGTGTTCCTAGCTCCTACAGTACTGTAGTGAACCGCAACATCAGAGAATCGAACCAGGGTCTCCCAGCCCGTAGGCAAACTTGTAAACAACTACTCCAATAGGGTCAACCCAGTTGGGGTAGATTCTAATGAGTCTAATACCTAGGCAAGAGTCCTTACACCACAGGCAGTGTCTGTCACTAACTATTATTTTGCCTCTCATACAGTTGGAACCAAAATGAAGAGTTGTGGTTTAAACCGGAGCTGCTTAAGAAGTGTAAGTGTCTTTGCTAATGATATTGCAATTCAATACAATTGCTATTGACCCACTGGTTCTCATACAATTCTCTCTCCTCTGACTTATCTTGCTTGTCCAGATGCCACTGAAGTCACACTGGACCCAAACATAGCAAACATAAATATCTCACTGATTGAGGAGAACAGGAAGCTGACATGGGTGAATGAGGAACAGAATATCCTGATGACCCACAGAGATTTGAGGAAATGCCACAGGTGCTGTGTAGAGAGCCTCTGACCAAACGGCATTAGTGGGAGGCAGATTTGATTGGGAATTGTGACATAGGAGTGGCATATACATGTATTAGCAGGTGGGGAGAGGCAAAGGATTGTAAGCTGGGAGGCAATGACAAGTCTTGGTGTCTGTTCTTCAAAGAAGAGTACTGTTACCTTGCCCGCCACAATATTTAAAAAAAAACATTTTTAGTCATTTAGCAGACACTCTTATCCAGAGCGACTTACAGTTAGTGAGTGGATACATTTTCATACTGGCCCCCCGTGGGAAACAAACCCACAACCCTGGCGTTGCAAGCGCCATGCTCTACCAACTGAGCTACAGGTGTATAGAAGGGGCAATCAACAAAGTGAAGGAGTCCAATGAGCACTGATGCGCGTAATGATGGTAACAGGTGTGCGTAATGATGGGCAGCCTGGCGCCCTCGAGGGCCAGGGAGGGGGAGCGGGTGCAGGCGTAACACCTGGACTATCTGCATAGACCCCCCCCCCCCTTTGTTTTTACACTGCTGCTACTCGCTGTTTATTATCTATGCGTAGTCACTTTACCTCTACAAATGTATTTAGTAAATATTTTCTTATCTCTATTTTCTTAACTGCATTGTTGGTTAAGGGCTTGTAAGTAAGCATTTCACGGTAAGGTCTACACCTGTTGTATTCGGCGCATGTGACAAATCAAATTTGATTTCATTTGATGAAACCAAGATTGAACTCTTTGGCCTGAATCCCAAGTGTCACCTCTGGAGGAAACCTGGCACCAACCCTACAGTGAAGCATGGTGGTGGCAGCATCATGCTGTGGGGATGTTTTTCAGCGGCAGGGACTGGGAGACTAGTCAGGATTGAGGGAAAGATGAACGGAGCAAAGTACAGAGAGATCCTTGATGAAAACCTGCTCCAGAGCGCTCAGGACCTCAGACTAGGGCAAAGGTTCACCTTCCAACAGGACGACCCTAAGCACACAGCCAAGACAAGGCAGGAGTGGCTTCGGGACAAGTCTCTGAATGTCCTTGAGTAGCCCAGCCAGAGCCCTGACTTGAACCAAATTGAACATCTCTGGGAGACCTGAAAATAGGTGTGCAGCGAGGCTTCCCAAAGTACCGAGTAAAGGGTCTGAATACTTATGTAAATGTGATATTTGCGTTTTTTTTTTTTATACATTTGCACACAAAAAACGCTTTCACCCATTTTAGAATAAGGCTGTAATGTAACGATATGTGGAAAAAGTCAAGGGGTCTGAATACTTTCCGAATGCACTGTACCTGGAAGTCTGTAGTGTCTGGAATAACTAGGGTATATAGTGGTGACTGAGTGGCGCAGCAGTCTAAGCCGTCAACCGGCCGTGATCGGGAGTCTCATAGGGCGGCGCACAATTGGCCCAGCGTCGTCCGGGTTACGGGAGGGTTTGGCCGGGGTAGGCCATCATGGTAAATAAGAAATGTTTCTTAACTTGACTTGCCAAGTTAAATAAAATATAAAAATATAGGACTAACTAGAAGACAGAAATCAGAATAGTTAGTACATTTAGTTTTTACATTTTACTTTGAGCATTTAGGCTATACTACATTATAGAAATCCCCATTGCAATCATGCATCAAGCCCATGGTAAACCTCGTAGCATCCCAGCCACAGACCGTATATATAAATCCCAACTCATCATTCATCAATCAACAAGTGGTGCCGGACATGAAACTAAATTCATTAATCTCGCGATACAAAGTCGACCCCACGGTACTTCAGTCATGTGGCTGCGTGTTGGAAAGCAAGTGAAGTCTTTCTACAGTCGTGAAGCAGAGGGAAGGACACGTATAGCGTGTCGCAGCTGATATTCTGCAATCATGGTAATATTTTCATATTTTTGCACGACATTTGGATGTTTAACCATTTAAACACCAACAAATAACTACTATTCGTGTTTAAACATGCTTAGGAAAATAAGATTTTCGTGGCAAAACTGACGACATTTTCAACGCAGAACTAGCTAAGCTAACGTTAACTAGTTAACGTATTCAATTTCAGTGTGGGAAGTTGATGAGCTAGTAAATTAAGTGATTGCATAATGTGTCGTAGTAAAAAATTCAACAATTGCATGCAATTGGCATTTATGTGAAATCGCGACCGTAATTACTAGCTAACTACAGTAGGTAGGTAGCGCTCCCAGCAGAGAGACGGCAGCCTCGATGGTAGGCCTCTGTCTCGGTGAAAATTCTGATTTTGCGAAAGAACTCACGAATCTCACTTAATGAACATATTAAGCATATAGATAACATCAAACAAAGGTTTATACGCCTTTGTAATACCCGTTAACCGTCTAATTTAGTTCACTTTACAAGGTGCGTACGTTACTGCGTGTTGGTCCCACACAACACGTGGTCTGGCGCTCGTCTTGGTAAAGAATTTGGCACGTAAGTTCAACTAGGCTCACGTTAGTTTTTTGGAAATACTATATTACCTGTATCATATCACATGTCGCATACGGGTGTTGTCCACTTGTGAAATTTGACTTTATTCTTGCCAAACATTTTTTTTTATTTGACCACTTGGCGTAATTTACGCACCACGTGGATATTTCGATCATGGCGGTATACACGCGCGCAGCAGTGCTTTATCATTTTTTACATTTTTAGTCATTTATCCAGAGCGACTTACAGGAGCAATTAGGGTTAAGTGCCTTGCTCAAGGGCACATCGACAGATTTTTCACCTAGTCGGCTCTGGGATTAGAACCAGCGACCTTTCGGTTACTGGCACAACGCCAGTAACCGAAGGGTCGCTGGCGTTTCGCTACCTACATTGTGATTTAGTTTCAGCCACGTTATATTTTTCACAGTATTTAATATGTAGCTAGCTATATAACATTATCTATTTTATAACCTAATGCGTATCTCTTCCACAGGTGCTGTTGCATGTGTTGTTCGAACATGCAGCAGGGTATGCGCTCTTTGTCGTCAAGGAGGTGGAAGAGATTGGCATGCTTTTGCCCCAGGTACGAAAACAATTCATCCACAAATAACATTTGACGCAGATTTACCCATATTCGATGACTGAGGAGTTAATCATTACCCCCACTCTCCAGGTTGAAGACTGCGTTCTAAACATTGGGAAATTCAATGGCATGGTGAGCCTAGCTGCTTTCTTCCCATTCAAGTCGGCCCAGGCAGCTCTAGATAATATTAACGCCATATCAGAAGGTGAGTTGGTTGCTTTATTTCATTTACTCAATTGTAGTCCAAGCTCAGATGTAATGATGTTTTTTTTAAAAAATCTGTCAATCCACTGACTGACTGTGCTGACACCAATCATCAAACCTGAACTTATGTGCCTTGCTAGATTAATTATACCAGATGGCATTAGCTAATATGTATGTTAACACACCCCCAACTAATCTTGTTTGTAGTATAAATAAACATTTCCCAATTGTTTCAGGTGTGCTCCATGCTGACCTGAAGCTGTTCCTGGAGACTAACTTGCCCGTAGGGGGTAAGAAGAAGGCAATGCTGGGGGTGGGCGATGCCAAGATAGGAGGAGCTTTGCAAGAGGAGCTTGGCTTGTCCATCCAGACGGGAGGAGTGGTGGCAGAGATATTGAGAGGTGAGGACTCACCTAGGCTACAGTACAAGTCATTGTGTGGGGGGGGAAGTCTCCTTTTATGTTGTGACTAGTAGACAGTGTGCAGCTGGAGATGCCTGGCCTGTGGTGATGTCAAGATAATCAATCCCTGACCCTCGTGATGGTTTATACTGAAAATCTGAATGGCTGCCAGGGCCTATGACCCAGGTTGTGAAAATACTGCCACTGTGCATACTCACTGTCACTTCCTGTTCTCCCCTGAAGGTGTGCGTCTCCACTTCCACTCCCTGGTGAAGGGGCTGACTGCCCAGGCTGCCTCCAAGGCCCAGCTGGGTCTGGGCCACAGCTACTCCAGGGCCAAGGTCAAGTTCAACGTCAACAGGTCTGACAACATGATCATCCAGTCCATTGCCCTTCTGGACCAGCTGGACAAGGACATCAACACCTTCTCCATGCGTGTGCGGTACGTACAGCTGCTTTTAGTACCAAGTCTCCCTCAAAGGAGATGTGGTAGTAGACCCAACAACCATCCACTCGACACTCTTGCTAATGGGACCAAATGATGTTCATACCAAATCTGTCAATCCCCTGAACTCTTTGTGTTGAGTCTTCCATCGGTGCTGACGGTCCCTCAGTCTAAATGTCAATTATGTCCTCAACCTGGTGGTTTTGAGTTTCTAAACATTTCAAACTTCTGCTCCCTCATTCCCCCTCTGGTTTATAGTGAGTGGTATGGCTACCATTTCCCAGAGCTGATCAAGATAGTGACTGACAACTCTACATACTGCAAGATGGCCCAGCTGATCGGCAACCGAAAGGAGCTGAGCGAGGAGAGTCTAGAGAGCATGGAAGGAGGTGGTGATGGACAGTGCCAAGGCCCAGTCCATCCTGGAGGCCTCCCGCAGCTCCATGGGTCAGTAGCCATGTCACACACCGTATATTATACGTATTTATAAAACAGCCCCTTTTTTGCCCATCTAGGACTTTTGACGTGTCCTATATGACCAACACAGAGGGGTAGAGTATTTATAGTTCTCTCATAAACCTGTAGTGAAGGCTCAAATCCTTACTGCGGATCCTGTCGGGAGATACAAAATTTATATTTCAGTCATCTTCCCTTATCTGTGGAGGTGTTTGTACGATGAAGGCCCATGTTCCTTGTATCAACATTGCCACTCAACCTTTTCCCATGGCTTTCTGTAGGTATGGACATTTCTCCCATTGACCTGATCAACATTGAGAGGTTCTCCAACCGCGTGGTCTCACTGGCCGCCTACAGGCTGGAGCTCCAGGAGTACCTCCACTCCAAGATGGGCCAGGTGGCCCCCAACTTGGCCGCACTCATAGGAGATGTGGTACGTAGTGACTATAACCATCACCTTGACACTCTTGCTAACGGGACCAAATGATGTTTCTACCAAATCTGTCAATCCCCTGAACTGATAATGTTGAGTCTTCCATCGGTGCTGACGGTCCATGACACCTCTGCTGTCAGTGACATGTTCACAGGCCAAACTCTGACATGTTTTTTTTTTTTCTCTCTCTAGGTGGGCGCACGCCTGATCTCCCACGCCGGCAGCCTGACCAACCTGGCCAAGTACCCAGCCTCAACCGTGCAGATCCTGGGCGCTGAGAAGGCCCTGTTCAGGTACTGGGGCACCCCCTCCCTGCTGGGGAAACTGGCAGCCGCTGTGATGGCAGGGCTGGGGCGGAGCAGAGAAGGGTGACTGGGGGTGACCCCCCTCAGAGTGATCCCTCTCTCCGTTACGCACCCCCACAGTCTGAGCAGCTGCCCAGGGCACTAAGAGGTAGATAACTTGGACATGCCATACTTGGCAGTTTGTTCTAGTCTTGGGCCATAATAAATTCTGCAATGGCAACTAATAAAAATGAGTAGGGTAGAAGAATCAACACTTACCTGTTGGGGAAACATTTGTTACCATAGCAAAGTTCACTTCAACTGGTAACCCATCAGCCATTCCCCGCACACAGGGCTCTGAAGACTCGTGGCAACACCCCCAAGTATGGCCTCATCTTCCACTCAACCTTCATTGGTCGTGCTGCCGCCAAGAACAAAGGGCGTATTTCCCGTTACCTGGCCAACAAGTGCACAATCGCCTCACGAATCGATGCCTTCTCTGGTGAGTGATGGATGGGGGTTAACCCATGGGAGAGCAGAGGACAAATCTTTCTCATGGCCTAGTAAAAAAGGTTGTTTCAGGGCCTTTTTGGTATGACACTTCTGGCATTATTTGCAATGATGTTCTTATTTTTCGTCAACAGTAATCCACCTCCGGGTGTATGATGGTGATGAGTTAAATACTGAGCAAAGCCTTGGTCATGAGTATTTTTGCTGGTGCCCCCTGCTGGCAAACAGTGTTATTGATGTTTCCTTTTCCATCTGACAGATGTGCCTACCTGTGTGTTTGGTGACAAGTTGCGTGACCAGGTGGAGGAGCGCCTTTCGTTCTACGAGACTGGAGAGGCGCCTCGCAAGAACCTGGACGTCATGAAAGAGGCTGTGATACAGGTGAGTTGACAATGACGTGGGATGCATTTTCTTGTTTTGTGAGCATGCTTTTAGTACTCTTTCCTCATAGATGTTTAGCTTACTTGCTGTGAGTGATGACAACACTTTCCCTGACTCAAATGTGGGGGTTTACTGATTTAATGAGCCTGACACAGCACTAAAACACATCTCCACTGCTTCTAGCAGCCCTAACTGGCTAGTCTCCTAGAAGTATAACCATGCAGTTTGGCTTACCCCTCATAGGCAGGAGAGGTGGCAGCTGAGATGAAGATCAAATTGGAGAAAAAGGAGAAGAAACGCCGGAAGCGGGAGAAGAAGCTGGCAGCCCTCTCCACTGGTGATGGCGAAGAGGGTGACTCGAAGGTCGACAGCGAGACAGAGGTATTTATTGCTTCAGCTGTCCGGTCCGTGTAACTGAAGGCATGTTTTGATTTGGGATTTGACCCTTCCACATGGTTCTGTCTCAGTGTACGACATGCTAAACTAACTTGACTCCGAACCATTGGCTGGTCCCCTACAGTGGACCAAATCACTGAAGTGAGTCGGACATTACAACTCTTGCCATACGGAAATGAACGTAGGCCATGGAGTAATTCTGAAACATCCTAATGTAATGATCTGTCTTTAGGCGACTGGTGAGAACGGAGAGGTAAAGAAGAAGAAGAAGAAGCGGGCAGCTGAGGCCGTTCAAATGGAGGAAGAGGCTCCAGCAGCAGAGAACGGAGACACCCCAGCCAAGAAGAAAAAGAAACGAAAGAGTGAGGCAATGGAGGTGGAGCCAGTGGTGGCTGAAGAGGCTCCAGAAACCCCCCAGACTGAGAAGAAAAAGAAAAGAAAGAAAAAAGACACTGAATAGCAGATTTGGCAAAGACTGACTTTTTTTTTTTAACGTTCTGTACAGTTTCGTTGCAATCTTATTTTTAGCTTTGGACTTAAGAGGTTGTAAGCCAACTGACTTGTGTAATCAGTTTGTCTCAATTTGATTCTTCCCCTCCCTAGCCTCAACGTACTACACTGAGTGAATATTCAGCTCAGTCCTTTGACGTTAATGTAATAATCCATCACACTTGTATGTAAATACTTTCATGGCCATTTCCTATCAAATCTGTTCTGTATAAACTTGCTTTCAACCATTTTTCAAATAAAGATTATAAATTACCCGTCTGTTGTCTCTGAATATATTTCAATATGTGGCTAGAATTGCAGCTAATTCTTTGTAAAAGGAGTTAACCAATGTAGCAGTAAAATTAAGTTGTCTAAGCCAGGAATGACTGCAACTACAGTTGTGCTCATTACTGTCAACTAATCCCTATCAATCTGAATTGTTTTTCTTTAATGGTTGTGTACAATAGTTTGCAACTGGGAACATTGCTTATTTTAGGAATGCTTGCCTGCCTTCTGCATCGTGGACACACAGTACATTGTATCCATGAAATGGTGAATGAAACATTAACAAATTCAGGGAAAAATATCCTAATTTGCTTAATTGAAGTCCCTGCTTGCTTATCTTTGAGATTGTTGCCCAGTAAATGAGGGCTCACTGAATAGTCATGACTCTCCTTGGTGAGGATCAAAGGTGCCAGATCAGCTTGGCAAATGGCTGACAGCCAGACCCCCTCCCACGGGGGAGTTGGGCCTGTTTTAAGATTTAACAGCAGGTCATAGTTTGCAGAAAATATCTAGTATATGGGAAGACATTTTCGCCGCCCAAAACATCCAACAATGAACACAGGCACAATATATTTCATCATCCAAATGTTGGGAAATTAATGTATATTTTGTGATGTCATTAAAAATGGTATATAGGCGTTATAACGAAAACATTGTAACTTGAGCTTTTACTCCATTTGTGTAGAAAATATGAAGGAGGAAGACATTTTCGTGAAGATAGGAATGTGATTTTAGCTTTCTAACAAGATCATAGTGATAAGATTTTGCCTCAAATTGCCACGCCCGAGAGAGCGTGTCAGTATGACGGAAACGCCCCTTTTTACTCGAGGGTATAAAGGATGGAGTTAAGAATTAACAGACCAACTCACGCTGCAGCTTTTGTCTATATTGGTTATGACCCTGAAAATCAACACGAGGTGAAGACGACAAAGTCGCCTCTCTAACAATCAATGTTACGGCTGAGTAGCTGTTCTAAGTACTGTAGCTAAGGTGAATTTAAGTGGGACCATCCTGTTACGCTCTTCAAACCATCGTCTACTACACTGCTCTCATAACCCCACTGGGGATCATCTACACGGCTGATTAGCTGTCCTCAGAAGACTACTTCCAGAATGAGTGAAAGTAAACAGACAATTAAGGACATTGTGACCTCTTGTGGACAATCAGAGCCTTACACCTGAGAACGAAGTAGAAGGCCCAATCGAACCCTTTCCACGAAGGCCTGGGTTCAACAGAGATACACGACGAAGACCCTCAACACGTAAATACATGCATTAATTCTTACCCAAGTAGTTCCCAAATGTATCCAAGTCTGTGTTGCTTCTCTCTCTTCAACTCTCCATCTTTTGTAAGAAGTGTCATATTGTGTTAGTCTGCTAGGGACCTGTCTTCATCGTATTAGGGCGGCAGGTAGCTTAGTGGGTAAGAGCGTTGTGCCAGTAACCGAAAGGTCGCTGGTTCTAATCCCCGAGCCGACTAGGTGAAAAATCTGTCGATGTGCCCTTAAGCAAGGCACTTAACCCTAATTGCTCCTGTAAGTCGCTCTGGATAAGAGCGTCTGCTAAATGACTAAAATGTAAATGTAAAATGTAAATGTATTACATTTCTAATCAATAACCTATACCGTGTGTGTATCCTGTGTTATCATTGAGTTTAGTAGTAAATAAATACATTTGTGTGGTGCGTAATTATCAGTAAGACTCGGGTTTGTGCAGATTCAAGAAGTCTGCGACGTTCAGAATGAGACTGAAGTGAGGTAAATGATTAATAAGTGACTTATCGATATCTATATATTATTTAGTTTAATTCAGGAGATGGTAACTCAAACAACTTCACCCGTGGTCCCCCAAATTCCTAATGAGTTAATTGTTACATGATTAATTTAATCTAGTAACAATTAAACATAGGTAATTATTCGATAAATAACAGTCATCACATTAATGAAGTCACGTCACGACAACAGCTAATGGAACATTAGTGACCCTTGTTTGGATATTGAAGGTATGCGACAACATGAGTGTCTAAATTTCCAACCTTTATCTGAGTTAAGAAGTGGGCAAGATTTCACCTGTGACTTCAGTGTAGTGTCCAAATCAATGTATTGCAGCTCAGGATTGTATGCTAAATGGACTTGTATAAAACATAACAGGCAAAATTAAATCTCCCTCTTTTTGTTCTAGGGGGGAATAATTCATTACTTTTATTTGGACAATGGATTAAACCAATGTTAATGACGTCAATCCAATGCCTGGCTGTCACACAGCCAATTGCAGTGAGCTCTAAAAGTATTGGGCCATTGAAATTGGTTTTGGCTCTGTACTCAAGCACTATGGAGTTGAAATGACTGATGTTAAAGTGCAGACTGTCAGCTTTAATTTGAGGGTGTTTTCATCCATATCGGGTGAACCGTTTCTAAATTACAGTACTTTCTGTACATAAATCCCCCCCGTTAGGGTACCAAAAGTATTGGGACAAATTCACTTGCCTATTAAAGTAGTCAAGTTTAGTATTTGGTCCCATATTCCTAGCACACACTGATTACATCAAGCTTGTGACTCTACAAATTTATTAGATGCATTTGCTGTTGTTTCAGATTATTTTGTGACCCAATGAATGGTAAATAATGTGTTGTCATTTTGGAGTCACTTATTGTAAATAAGAATAGAACGTTTCTAAACACTTCTACATTAATATGGATGATTCCATGATTACGGATAGTCCTGAATGAATTGTGAATAGTGAGTGCGAAAGTTAAATGCACAAATATCATACATCCCCGGTGAGAGGTTAGTATGTCTTGGGGGTATGATATTTGTGTGTCTAACTTTCTCACTAATCTTATTCATATTCACAATTCATTCAGGACTATCATGGTAGCATCCACATTAATGTAGAAGTGTTTAGAAACATTCTATAATTATTTAGTTTGTAGTCACAAGCTTGATGTAATCATTGTGTGCTAGGAATATGGGACCAAATTTTAAACTTTTGTCTACTTTAATACCCAAGTGAATTTGTCCAAATACTTTTGTCCAGTTATAATGGGGGGACTATGTAAAAAAGCACTGTAAACGGTTCACCTGATATGGATGAAAATACCCTCAAATAAAAGCTGACAGTTTGCACTTTAACCTCAGTCATTATATCATTTCAAATCCAAAGTGCTGGAGTAAAGAGCCAAAACAAAAACAAACATTGTCACTGTCCCAATACTTTTGGAGCTCACTGTATAAAGGCGGGAATCACAAACGAAGGGGGTAAAGGGTGCAAAAACAACTCAAGCTATCAATTACCCTCAATAGAAAATAGATCACCATGAAAAATGATGCTTAGCAGTAATGTACATCATTACCAGGTTAATGTATGCATACAAAAATCATCCACGCCACATGATGCTTGTTCTGGTTCAAGTACTGTATATTCACCATCAACTTCATAATTACTTCTCCATGATATTTGATTCTCTCATCATTTTGAAATAAAACATCCTTCGAAAAAATCTAACTAAAATGCAGAAAACCAAATGTCATGTACTATCAATACATATATACTGTATAAATACATACATAAATATATTTTACATACAACAGCCATACATTTTTAAAGGGGAATATTGAGTAGGGGGGAGGGGGTGGTAGTGTGTGTGTTTTAGCCTGGTGCTGTAAAATGCTTTGTCCCCTCTGGTCTGATCAGTCAAGATAGGTGGGCATGATGCAGTGTGCACACACACAGCCCTGTCAGTTGCCCCAGTATGGGGAGCTCCCGTAGCTGGACTTGTTGACTTGGCTCTTCTGCTGCATGCTGCTAGACTGGCCTCGCTGGCTAGGACCTCCCTGCATACAGAGACAAGAGGACAACGTCACAAACTGGATATGGCCAGCACAAGTACCACACTGATACAAATATGTAATAGACATTTATAAACTGGGTGGCTCGAGCCCTGAATGCTGATTGGCTGACAGCCGTGGTGTATAACAAAACATTTCTGTTTACTGCTCTAATTACGTTGGTAACCAGTTTATAATAGCAATAAGGCACCTCTGGGTTTGTGGTATATGGCCCATATACCACACCCCCTCGTGCCTTATTGCTTAAGTAAACCAGAGGTAGGCAAAGTGATGGCTAGATGGCAAAGTGATGGTACAGGCTTTTGTTGAAATAAATCTGATTCACCAAATCAGTCTTGATTGAAGACTTGAGTAGAATCAGGTGTTACTGCTTGGCTGGAACAAAAGCCTGCAAGCACAGGGTAGGATTGCCCACCACTGATCTAACCAGTGCCGTTGTGTGGCATGTTAACACAAGGTTGTACACTACACAAGGTTCTAGACTACAGGTGTATGCGTTACCTGTCCGTCCTGGGCCAGATGATGGTGCAGCATCTGGGAGTGGGGTTGCTGGTGGGCAGGCTGCAGGATGTGGAGGAAGGGGGCGGGAGCGTAGCCACCCGGGGCCCCTCCAGGACCCCCCATAGCCGAAGGCAGGTTGAAGGGAGGGGGAGTCCCCGCATGGAAACCCTGCTTATCAAAGGACTGGAAACAGACAAACGGAGAGCAAAGTCAGGGTCAGTGATTAGGTTTATCTGGAAGAAAACGACCATGGAGAAAAAAATACCATAAAAAACTTAAGCTCTGGCAAGGACTAGAATTGAAATCATAATTGATAAGAGAGTATTATGTGTTTGTGTATGATCCCAGGGTGATAAGCCCTGATGGACTAATAGGGTATCGTAATGAAGTACAATTAACAAAAATATAAACGCAACATGTAAAGTGTTGGTCCCATGTTTCATGAGCTGAAATAAAAGATCCAAGAAATGTTCCATTCGCACAAAAAGCTTATTTTTCTCAAATGTTGTGCACAAATTTGTTTACATCCCTGTTAGTGAACATTTCTCCTTTGCCAAGATAATCCATCCACTTGACAGGTGTGGCATATCAAGAAGCTGATTAAACAGCATGATCATTACACAGGTGCACCTTGTGCTGGGGACAATAAAAGGCCACAAAAATGTGCAGTTTTGTCACACAACAGCGTGCAATTGGCATGCTGATTGCAGGAACGTCCACCAGAGCTGTTGCCAGAGAATGTAATGTTCATTTCTCTACCATAAGAGACCAACATTGTTTTAGAGAAATTGGCAGTCAGTCCAACCAGCCTCACAACTGCAGACCATGTATATAGCATCATGTGGATGAGCGGTTTGCTGATGTCAATGTTGTGAACAGAGTGCCCCATGGTGGCGGTGAGGTTATGGTATGGGCGGGCATAAGCTATGGACAACGAACATTTACATTTACGTCATTTAGCAGACGAGAACACAATTGCATTTTATCAATGGCAATTTGAATGCAGAGATACTGTGACGAGATCCTGAGGCCCATTGTTGCGCCATTCATCCGCTGCCATCACCTCATGTTTCAGCATGATAATGCACGGCCCCATGTCGCAAGGATCTGTACACAATTCCTGGAAGCTGAAAATGTCCCAGTTCTACCATGGCCTGCATACTCACCAGACATGTCACCCATTGAGTATGCTTGGGATGCTCTGAATCGACGTGTACGACAGCGTGTTTCAGTTCCCGCTAATATCCAGAAACTTTGCACAGCCATTGAATAGGAGTGGAACAACATTCCACGGGCCACAATCAACTCTATGAGATGTGTCGCGCTGCATGAGGCAAATGGTGGTCACACCTAGGGCTGTGGCGGTCACAAAATGTTGTCAGCCGGTGACTGTCAAGCAAATAACTGTCGCAGACAAGCCACTGATGCAGACCTACAAAAATATCTACATTTTAAAAATTCCATGTAATATAGAACCTTCACCTTCACAATAAATCCATTATTTATTTTAGACAGGTCTAAAGAATCATGATATGAAGAAAATGTAGTCTATTTTAGAAGAAGATAATAGCATACTCTGAGTTGTCCTTGTGTTAGGTCCTGATGTGGCTATGCCATATGGCTGTGGGGTACGCTAGTTCATTTAGCAGACAAGATTTGCTTAGAATTCTGTGGCATTACTTTATATTATTTTATAGTATGAAGAATACAATTGAACGAAGCTGAATAAAATAGAAAGGATATTTTCTCCGAACGATTTGAGGGAGTGCGCACATGCGGCTATTCTGTTTTGAGCGGTTAACAATGAAATAGGTACTCCTATATGCTTAATTTAGAGTTATTCATGTAACTTTAGTTGTTCTACAAACATTGGGCTATATGTTTAGATTTTTAATACATTGTATGGCTGCATGATGAGACTAATGAGGATTTGAAAAAGGTCGCTTGAAAGGCATGAGCTCTGCTTTGTTTTTTGCGCAGGCTGTCCACTCTTCAATAGTCTCTCATTCACAATTTGACAAGCACTTGATAATGCCTCGAATTTCACGATGGCATCCCCTTTGTGGCCGTAATGCACCCTAAAAAAATCCAGGTATTTTGCGGCCCAGAGTGCTGCGTTGTGCCCTTCTCCCTGAGTGCTGCGCAATCCGAAGCGCCTCTCACTCACATGGCTCTCAATCACGTGATCGGATCTTTCTCACAGGCTACAAGTGAAGACAGACACATCCGGGACGCAACTGCGCGCGTCCTTATCCAATTCCGAGGTGCATATTGAAGATATTGGAAGAACTGTCCACATTTACTTCTTGTCAGCCAGCAAGATGAGTAGGCCTAACGAACAGCAAAAGCACTAGCCTATGTCAATCTACTATCCCCCATAGTACAAAAGTCGACCTATTCTATTCTGTGCAATAAATAAATATTCCAAACATGGTCTGGGACAGTTGTGGGGTGCGATAGATCCCAAATTAATACTACCACTAGCATCCACCCAAAACTTTTTTACGCAATGTGGCTGACGCAACAGATCAGAACATTTAGCTTAAAATGTTTATAAACTATTAGGCTATTTCTTCACATTATAAGCGCAGCAATGCGCACATGGCAGTAGGCTATAAGCGCACATGTTCCATTAGCGGGAAAACACCATTATCAAAAGTGACCGCAAATGCGATTATGAACGTAATCCTTTTATTATCTATATACAAACTTGAAACTCACGCGCTGCTTATGTATGCCAGTTAGGCTCTACACCTGTTGTAAAGCGGATTAATGTGTTTAATTTTAAGAAGTTATTTAGCCACTTTAGTTGTGATACAAACCATATCAAAACATATAGGCCTTTGGGCTAGGCTACATGAGGTGTGCGACTATGATTTGAAAAAGTCGCAAAAAAAGGCAGTTTTATGCTGGGCTTCATTCACAAGTGATAATATATAATTCACAAGTGATAGGCTAATATTGTCACCCATCAGACTATTCTTGATTTAATCTTTACATACACTAAATAATATATGTGTGAAATTTGTTTTGATTTAGAATGGACCATTATCACGCACCTGTCTCGAAACAGGGGCAGCGGGAAAAAATACCTATGCACTTAAATAGTGAATGGAGGATGCTATTCCTGTGGTTCATTTTCATGCCAGCCAGGTAGGCTATACTCCTGTTGTAAAGATAAACAATGTGCTTAATATTAGGAAAGTTGAGAAATAAATATAGTAGGCCTAGCCTATAGAAATCTAATGGAATCCTCTTATTTTTTGTAGAGGCCATCACTCTGTTTTCTCGCGCAATTGCATAGCCTATAGAAATGTTGCGCAACATGAGCTAATGGGCTCTCATGAAGTGTTTGATTGGCACCCGTGTAGCTTAGTTGGTAGAGCATGGCACTTGCAACGCCAGGGTTGTGGGTTCGATTCCCATGGGGGGCCAGTATGAAAAAATATATGCACTCACTAACTGTAAGTCGCTCTGGATAAGAGCATCTGCTAAATGACTAAAATGTAAAAATGTAATTAGAATCCAGGCTCTGTCGCAGCCGGCCGCGACCGGGAGACTCATGGGCTGCGCACAATTGGCCCAGCGTTGTCCAGGGTAGGGGAGGGAATGGCCGGCAGGGATGTAGCTCAGTTGATAGAGCATGGCGTTTGCAACGCCAGGGTTGTGGGTTCGATTCCCACGGGGGGCCAGTATAAAAAAATATGTATTCACTAACTGTAAGTCGCTCTGGATAAGAGCGTCTGCTAAATGACTGAAATGTAATGTAAATGTAGAATTTAGATCACATTTGCATTGATGTCAGAGTGATTAGAGGGACAATAGAGTGCTGAGTACCAGGCAGTTAGCAAGTTTGGTAGGCTACTAATGACCAGCAGCAGCGCTTGGAGAAGCCTAATTACCGTGACTTAACAGTCAAGTGGAATTTGACTGCCTTCATGACTCGTGACCGCCGGTGTGGTGGTAATACGGTCACCGCAACAGCCCTAGTCACACCAGATACTGACTGGTTTTCTGATCCTACTTTTTTTTTTAAAGGTATCATGACCAACAGATGCATATCTGTTTCCCAGTCATGTGAAATCCATAGATTAGTGCCTAATGAATTTATTTCAATTGACTGATTTCCTTATATGAACTGTAACTCAGTAAAATCTTTGAAATTGTTGCATGTTGCGTTTATATTTTTGTTCAGTATAAATCCAAATCTGAAACACAAACAAAGACTACATAAAATATCTCACCTGGGTCTTGTTGTAAACACTTCCACTGATTTCTGGGACCCCGGAGTTGCCTGACGTCACAGAGATGCCGCCTAGCATACGATAAAATATTAAAATAGTTGAAAACAAACATTAATATCACAGTCAAAAGCAATGCCTCTTGAAACCAGGACAGCTTATGCCTTTTGCCCAATACTGACATAAAATAATGTAACATATGTCATTGAAATGGCAATATTATTTATTTATTTCACCAGGCAAGTTAGTTGAGAACCAGTTTTCATTTTCAATAATAAAAAAAGAACACAAACATGGACAACACAAGAGTTAAAATATTTCAAGCATGGTAACGATATGGGTTCAGATGACCGTGATTTATTGGGAGGGTGATGTACCTTTACCGGGGCCTGTAGCAGCAGATTTGGCCTGGCTCTGGGAGGAGTTGCTGTAGCCCTTGCTATAGTCTACTCCTGCTTGGCCCTGGGTCAGGTCCTCATACCCTGAGACCAAAACAACAACATACTGATATCAACTCTGTCTTTTCCACAGTGTTCAACTAGATTGTTGGTGTGTGTGTGTCTCCCTCTCTCACGGTAACCAACCTGAGCTGAAGGTGTGCTGGCCGTAGCCGCTGGGCTGCTGCTGCTGGAAGGGGCTGGCTGAGGGGTTGCCCAGACCCACACCATGCTGCTTGGCTGGCCCCTGTCCCTGGGGCATGAACATGGTGTGGCCGTACTGGAAGGCAGCGCCAGGCATCCCGGGGTAGTAGGGCAGGCCTGTGTAGCTGTAGCCTGGTGGGAGGAAGGCCTGCTGCTGCTGGCTGCTGTGGTGGCCCTGGGGCTGGCCTTGAGGCTGGGGCTGGGGGGGTTGAGGCTGGGCCTGGCTCTGCCCTTGGCTCTGGCCCTGTTGTGGCTGCTGTTGGGCCGACAAGCTGCTAGGCGCAGGGGAGGTGGAGTCACCCCTGCCAAACTTTGTGACTTCACCTGCGGAGGCAGGGGCATGTGATCGTACCTGTTACTATTTTAGCAGACTAAACATTAACGATTTTCCCTTTTTTCCCCCCCTTAGCTCCCTAGTCATGGAATTATTTTCAAACTAGTTTATAATTCCTGGACCTAGTTCCAAAAGTTTTTTAAAAAAAGTTGACCAACCCGGTTTGAGAGTAGCGCTGCCAGAGTTGCTTACCTGAGTAAGGGTTATTGGCGAGGCTCCCATCTCTGCCAGAGAGTGCTGTGGGACCAGGGAATGTGATTCCGTAGTAATCCTGCAAAGAGGGCTTTACACAGAGAGAGACAGGATCAGAAACATAGAGATCCTATTAAATTACTAGAGGGGTTATGTCATAAACCCTAAAAGTTCCAGAATTGTCCGAAAATGGCAGCCATTGTGGTCAGGGAGAAATCCAAACCTGTCTAATTGGAATGAATGGCAGTAGAGTAGTAGACTGGTTGCCGTCTCTGTTCAGCTATTACATTCCACTCCTTTCCACTCCTTGACACTCTATCATTAATGAGCTTGAGGAGATCAGAGGATTTGATTCTGATTCGATAACCCTCACAGCTATCATCGAATCCCAATGTTTATGCAAATTAGACTGATAGGAAAACAATCTAACTTATTTCATAGATTTGAATGGAAACATTCTAACATTGGACATTCTGACCTAATACATTTAATTGTAAACATAAACATTTGGTTGCGGGAAAAACAGAGGATTCCCCTTTATTGCATTTTTACCACCAGCCAATGTGATCACAACACACCAGAGAAGCTCTCGCCATTCAAACTTTGCCGCCAGTTCACTGTGTGAACACTGTAGCCTATTTTATATCCAGCAAGCAAGAGCAAGGTGCTTCTTTCCTCAAATTATATATATTTTTTTTTAAGTGACCAAACTATACTGAACAAAAATATAAACGCAACATGCAACAATTTCAAAGATTTTACTGAGTTACATTTCATAGAAGGAAATCAGTCAATTGAAATAAATTCATAGGCCCACCCACTGGGGAGCCAGACCCAGCCAATCGGAATGAGTTTTTCCCCACAAAAGGGCTTTATTACAGACAGAAATACTCCTCAGCACCGCTCCTCAGACGATCCTGCAGGTGAAGAAGCCGGATGTGGAGGTCCTGGGCTTGTGTGGTTACACGTGGTCTGCGGTTGTGAGGCCGGTTGGATGTACTGACAAATTCTCTAAAAGTCCGGGCTTATGGTAGAGAAATGAACATTCAATTCTCTGGCAACAGCTCTGGTGGACATTCCTGCAGTCAGCATGCCAATTGCGCGCCCCCTCAAAACTTGAGACATCTGTGGCATTGTGTTGCGTGACAAAACTGCACATTTTAGAGTGGCCTTTTATTGTCCCCAGCACAAGGGGAACCCATGTAATTATCATGCTGTTTAATCAGCTTCTTGATATGCCACACCTGTCAGCTGGATGGGTTATCTTGGCAAAGGAGAAATGCTCACTAACAGGGATGTAAACAAATTTGTGCACAAAATCAGAGAGAAATAAGCTTTTTGTGCGTATGGAAAATATCTGGGATCTTTTATTTTAGCTCATGATACATGGGACCAACACTTTACATGTTGCGTTTATATTTTTGCTCAGTATATATTGCTACTTCTGGGACACGCATTGGGATAGGCTACTGGTTCAAGAGCTATAAGAGGAATAGAGTGAGGATGGAAGAGAGAGAGGACAATGGAGATGCCAGCGGAGACACATGAATTGTGCAAGAAAGGAACAGTGAAGACAGATGTGTAAGGCTATTAAACTACCATTCGTATGCTAGCCTACAGTGCATTCGGAAAGTATTCAGACCCTTAGATTTTTTACACATTGTTACATTACAGCCTTATTCTAAAATTGATGTAAAAAAAATAATGACAAAGCAAAAACAGGTTTTTAGAAATGCTTGCTAATTTATTACAAATAAAAAACAGAAATATACATTTACATAAGTATTTAGACCCGTATTCCTTAAAGAGGTGGGGTTTCAAATGTCTCCGGAAGGTGGTGAGTGACTCCGCTGTCCTGGCGTCGTGAGGGAGCTTGTTCCACCATTGGGGTGCCAGAGCAGCGAACAGTTTTGACTGGGCTGAGCGGGAACTATGCTTCCGCAGAGGAAGGGGAGCCAGCAGGCCAGAGGTGGATGAACGCAATGCCCTCGTTTGGGTGTAGGGACTGATCAGAGCCCGAAGGTACAGAGGTGCCGTTCCCCTCACTGCTCCATAGGCAAGCACCATGGTCTTGTAGCGGATGCGAGCTTCAACTGGAAGCCAGTGGAGTGTGCGGAGGAGGGGGGTGACGTGAGAGAACTTGGGAAGGTTGAACACCAGACGGGCAGCGGCATTCTGGATGAGTTGTAGGGGTTTAATGGCACAGGCAGGGAGGCCAGCCAACAGCGAGTTGCAGTAGTCCAGACGGGAGATGACAAGTGCCTGGATTAGGACCTGTGCCGCTTCCTGTGTAATGTTGAAGCACCTTTGGCAGTGATTACAGCCTTGAGTCTTCTTGGGTACGACGCTACAAGCTTGGCACACTTGTATTTGGGGAGTTTCTCCCATTCTTCTCTGCAGATCCTCTCAAGCTCTGTCAGGTTGGATGGGGAGCGTCGCTGCACAGCTATTTCCAGGTGTCTCCAGAGATGTTCGATCGGGTTCAAGTCTGGGCTCTGGCTGGGCCACTCAAGGACATTCAGAGACTCGTCCCGAAGCCACTCCTGCGTTGTCTTGACTGTGTGCTTAGGGTTGTTGTCCTGTTGGAAGGTGAACCTTTGCCCCAGTGTGAGGTCCTGAGCTCTCTGGAGCAGGTTTTCTTCAAGGATCTCTCTGTACTTTGCTCCGTTCATCTTTCCCTCGATCCTGACTAGTCTCCCAGTCCCTGCTGCTGAAAAACATCCCCACAGCATGATGCAGCCACCACCATGCTTCACCGTAGGCCAAAGAGTTAAATCTTAGTTTCATCAGACCAGATAGTCTTGTTTCTCAAGGTCTGAAAGTCCTTTATGTGCCTTTTGGCAAACTCAAAGTGGTCTGTCGTGTGCCTTTTACTGAGGAGTGGCTTCTGTCTGGCCACCATAAAGGCCTGATTGGTGGAATGCTGCAGAGATTGTTGTCCTTTTGGAAAGTTCTCCCATCTCCAAAGAGGAACTCTGGAGCTCTGTCAGAGTGACCATCAGGTTCTTGGTGGCCAAGGTCCTTCTCCCCCGATTGCTGAGTTTGGCCGGCCGGCCAGGTCTAGGAAGAGTCTTGGTGGTTCCAAACTTCTTCCATTTAAGAATGATGGAGGCCACGGTGTTCTTGTGGACCTTCAATGATGCAAAAATGTTTGGTGCCCTTCGCCAGATCTGTGCCTCGACACAATCCTGTCTCTGAGCTCTACGTGTGCCTTTCCAAATCATGTCCAATCAACTGAATTTACCACAGGTGGACTCCAATCAAGTTGTAGAAACATCAAGGATGATCAATGGAAACAGGATGCACCTGAGTTCAATTTTGAGTCTCATAGCAAAGGGTCTGAATACTTAAGTAAATAAGGTATTTCAGTTTTTTAGTTGTAATAAATGTGCAAAATTCTAAAAACCTGTTTTCGCTTTGTCATTATAGGGTATTGTGTGTAGATTGATGAGGAAAACAATTTATTTAATCAATTTTAGAATAAGGCTAACATAACAAAATGTGGAAAAAGTCAAGGGGTCTGAACACATTCCGAATTGCACATATTAGGCCTAGCCTACTACACTGAATTAAGGTGTTCACCACCTGTGCAATGCATTTTTGTCTGACGCACGTTTTATGCCAATGAATTGAAGTCGAACATCCACAAATGTGTCAGTTTAATTAAATGTGCAATAAAAAAGGTGTAGTGCCTAGGTCTATTTGAGACCCTGGCTGTTGACGTATTCAACGGATCGCAAAGCAGGGACTGAGCTCCTTTTTGGAAATGGCAAGCTCACGTTCTCATCCATAAACACATATCAAGTGCAAGTGCACTGTCCGGCAGCTCACATCAGCAGGATGGGTAGCCTTTTCATTAGGAGTGACGTCTAACGTGGATCACTAAAATAATGATTATGATCATATTTCCTCAATTTTAAATATTAGGCCTATGGGGACACCTGTACATTTGGCAGCCACCTGTACATTTGGCAGCCAAGCACGAGTTATCAGTGCAGCCTTTTATCTTCTAGACTTGATGTTGAAATCAGTCACGATCAGCAAGTACGAGGAATGACGACAAGTGCCAGTTTTGCTCGATTGAATCTCATGGGCTAATACAGTATTTTCCGTATCATTATTTCTCTCTCTCTCAATACGGAGTCCTCTCTTGCCACTTTGAACAACATGTTCATGCATTGACACTGCCTTCTCACAAGGGAATGACCACAGCAAGTTGTAACGGTATTGTTGATTGTTGTTCTTAAAATTCTAATTCTATATTGCGCCAAATTTGCACGCACCCCATGTTCCATAACGTTGTCATGGAAAATAGAAATGTTGTTTCCAACTACCAATCAGCAACTGCGCCGTAAATCCTCCTGCATATTGAACGTTGAGATTGCCGAAAGGCCAGTCTGTTAGCTAAAAAGACTGGTACCCCAGACTAGTAGAGTAGGGTGTCCAATCAAAAACGCATATTTTGATAAATGGGTAAAATAATATGTTACTTGTGTAGATAACCCTCTAAGAAAACCAGTGGTCCAAACCTCATGTCTCTATCATCATCCGTTCAAAAGTAATGGAAGTTTTTACCCTTGTAGGATGGCCAAAATTGGGTGACTAAATCAATGGAGGCCAGAATTTTTTTGGGGTCAAAAATCAGGAAAATAGCATTGCGTCAGCTAGGCTGGATGCTGTGCCAGAATTAAGGCCAACTGACAGGCTCACTGTTTAACTCGTCATCTTTCTTCTCCAATCCAGAGGACATAAAACAATATAGAGGTAAGATAGACATCGATTTTGAGACATGACATACAGTATTTTAATATTTTAGAATACACTTTTCATATTAATGCAAAAACAATATGTGGGAAGTGCCAAGTGCCAAGATTGAGGCGAGGTGGCTTCAAAACAGCGCCCCCTGTCAGTCATCTAGTGTACATTTAATCATTGATTGAGACTCACCATAGGAAGTCTGGACTGTAGCATGTGGAGGTCCTCATAGCCATAGATCTGCTGTGGAACACAGGGCCAGTACAGTCACTTGAATAGATCGTACACCCAAATAACAAAAGACAGATGTTTCTTTACTTTGTCTCTCCTGGCCTATTGACTACTTTCAGTGACACACACACACACACACAAAATAGTTACCGGGTAGGCAGGCAGCAGGCCTCCTGGGCCCATGATGTACTGGTTGGGCAGTAGTGGTGGCACCCCCTGAGACAGGTTAGGAGGAGCTTTACCTGAAAAACACAAGGACAAACACACTCACACACTGCTATCTAGACAGAATTACTGTTTCAGTTATAGGCTTTACGTTTCTGTTTTAATACGTAGGTGAACGTGACTGTACGAGTATGTATATACATTAGTGTGTGTGCGTATATTCATGTATGTTTGTGTGTTTGTGTGTGTGTTTGAGCGTACCAGTTGAGGAGGAGAGCAGCGGTGCGGTCCTGGGGACGGAGGAGAGGTTCGATTGGGCCGTGGTCCCGTTGGCACTAAGCCCCAGTGCTTGGCTGGTGTGAAGCCCGCTACCACCCATGCTACTGACCATGCTGTTCATGTGGCTCATGGTGCCCATGACGTGAGCCATGCTGCTGTTGACCTGGTGGGGCGACTGGGCTGGGGCCTGGGCTGGGGCAGAGGAGTAGGAGCCAGACGAAGGTGCCAGAGAGCTCACACTACTGTCCACACTGGTATACTACACAGAGAGAGGTAGAGTGAGAGAAGGAGAGAGAAACCGAGAGAGTTAGTTACAGAGGAGGTTGTACTCTGCATGGTCATCTCTTAAAGAAGCGTGTGTGTACGTGTGTCTGTTGACCAGTACTCACAGTGAGAGAGGAATGACTACTGCTGCCATGGCTACAATGTAGAGAGAGAGAAGAGAGGGAGAGATACATTAATGAATGTCCTTAATATCTACCCATCACTGTATCTTCATTATCACCATTTGCCTTCTGCTCTTGATTTAGATATATTCATGATCAAGCTTATTAATATCACTATATACAAGAAAGTAACTGCATTTCTAGCCTATAATGGCAAACTTGAATTCTGTATATATAAATTGTCTCTAACTCACATCAATACAAGCACACATTCTAAGACGTAAAGGCAAGTGCGTGTAACCTGCTGAGTGTCGCCAGGCTGGCAGAGGGCATGTCGTGTGGCAGACTGGGGAGTGCTGAGCTGTGGGGGGGTATGGAGGAGGGCATGAGTGCAGAGGGGGCAGGGGCACTGCTGGTACTGATGCTCAGAGAGGGAGACTCTGGCTTTGGCGTAGAGGCTGACGAAGCTGGGGATAGAGAGAGGGAAACAATCAATTACAACACAAATCCTGAGGTCAACTGACAAAAAGAGCAGCACTGAATGAATTAATGAAATGTGTAACTTACGGTCCATAGCAGACGTCCTCACACCGTTCAGACCGTTCTGTTGAGACGAGCAAACGACAAAGTTAACATTGGATTCTTCACCCATGTCAACTTATCTTTATTATCCCAACAGTGCAAAATGCATTCATATTTCATACACAACAAATGATGTATCTCATTATTGCACAACCCAGGACACTGAGCCTGTGTGGGAGGTCTGGGTCCTGTTCATTAGGGCACACCGTAGCCAAAACCTTCTGCAACAGAACACAAAAACAAGCTATTCTTATAGGACAAGTTCAGGTAGTCTATCCCGGTTTCTGGACGTTTTCTTCCGTTTGGTGCCTAATGAATACCACCCTGGTGGCCTGCAGTGTGTTCGTTATGGCTTACATTAGCCCAACTTAAACTCACCATGATTGGCCCGGGTGCCTCTTTGCTCTGGGAGAAGGCCAGGCGTGAGTGAGGTGCCACAGGCCCACAGTCATAACCGCTCCCCACTGAGACAAAGGGAGATGTGGAAGAGGAGGGCACCGAGGAGGAGATGGAGGAGGAGGAAGTGGAGGAGCTGACCGTACCCATAGAGGAGGGGGCGAGGCTGGGCATGGGCACCGACGGGGAGTGGTAGACGGGCTCAGAGGATGAGAGAGGGAGGGGGACGGAGAGAGAGGTGCTCATAGATTCACTGGAGACAAACCCGAGAAGGAGGTTTTAGTTAAACTATGTCGAGACAATTGAAAATGTATAATATGAAGACTTCATATACACTTCTAGGGTGAGCTAGCATGGTCTTCAATCTGTTGACTACTCCTGGGGTCTGTTTAGGAGTGCAAAATAACAGAATATACACAAACATAGAATATAACATAGAATAACAAAAATATTGTGCAGAAGAGATAGGACTGTCTGTGAGGCAAAATGTGGAATCATGTAAACTCGTTACTTTTTCTCTCTGCAACTTTCACCTCATTTCAAACATACACCCATGGTGGATATTGTGACCCACCTGATGGGATTGGAATAGAGGCTGGTCTGGCTCTGTGGCGCCGGGGTGGATTCCCTGGAGCCCCCGGTGACACACGTCTCCACAGGGCCAAAGTCCGGCAGGGCCGCCTCCGAGCCAAAGTCCAGCGCTCCGAACTGAACATTAAGACCGGGGACGTCGGCAGAGCCAGGCATTTCCACCGCCGACGAGGGGATCTGGAGTGGAGGGGAAAGCTCTCACTCAGAGGGGACTCATTGTCGGAAACATCATTATTTGTATTATTCACAATCCTTGCATTTGAGAGGATCGGCCTGTGTAAGGATCTGCACAAATTTGATAATCTTGATCCCCAATCCCCTCAAACACTTAGCTTCTTCATTTAAAGCAGTGCTCTTCAATGCTGGGAATTGATCAATTAAGCATCAAGACTTGGATTAGATCAATCAGGTGTGTTAGTACTGGCCTAAAACAAGAGCCTTGATAGCCAATGTTGACCATCCCTGTCCTACATAGTGAGTGAAGCCCAATTCTTTCCTTGATTCCTACCGTCCTTGATTCCTTGAACACACACAGGGAATCGAGGAAATACTTGTCTATGGTTCCTTTTACCTTGGAGGTGGGAGGTATCCTTCGTTTCTGGGCCTTTAGCTGCGGAACGCGGTGCTGCTGCAGCGGGCTGCTGCCTTGAGGGTCCGGCCCTGCGCTGGGGGCAGGCTTGGCACCGATGGCGGCCTGGGGGGGTCCCTGGATGGGGGAGGGGGATTGGGCTGGCGGGGGGCTGGGCTGGCGCACAAGGGGAAGGGAGGGGGCGCAGTGTCTCTGAGCCAGCTGGCTCAGCACCAGGGATGGCTCAGGCTTCAGCTTAAACTCCCCTGGAGGGCAAACACACACAAATACAGATCAGCCAGGCATATGGACACAACCACCACATAGACGCATGGCCATTTAACAAAGAAAAGCCATATGCCAGGTATTTGAAATGATAGATGATTTAGGTAAATCTCTAATAAAAATCGGATAAAAAGTGTTTGAGTGTGTGCGACTCACGGCTGAAGTGTGAGGTGTGTGAGGACGTGGTGGCGCTGGGCTCTGGGGCCTTGACATCCCAGCTTGAAGTGGAAGGCGGAGGGAGAACAGGGGGGGCTCCTCCTAGCCCTGGGAGTCTACTCCCCAGAGAGGTGTTGCTGGCCCCCTGCGTGCTGGGAGGGGGGGCTGCCTGGGAGGAGGGGAGAGGACCCAGGCCCGGGCCCTTCAGCTGCTCCAAGATCTGGGCCCCCGGACTGGACTGACTCCTCTTAGACTGGCCCAGGTCCCCGAAACCTGCCCCCAGCACTGACGACTGGCAGACAGAAGGAGAGAGTTGGATTGGAGGGTTTGTACATTGTTTAAGAAATATTTGCAGAATGAATGTGGCCCTATGTTAATACAAGCAAAATATGGCGATCAAGTAAGGGAAATACACTATACAGTGCCTTCGGAAAGTATTCAAACCCCTTGACTTTTTCCACAATTTGTTAGGTTACAGCCTTATTCTAACATTGATTAAATTGTTTTGTTCCCTAATCAAAACGGAAATATCACATTTACATAAGTATTCAGACCCTTTATTCACTACTTCGTTGAAGCAGCTTTGGCAGCAATTACAGCCTTGAGTCTTCTTGTGTATGACGCTACAAGCTTTGCACACCTGTATTTGGGGAGTTTCTACCATTCTTCTCTGTAGATCCTCTCAAACTCTGTCAGGTTGGATGGGGAGCGTTGCTACAAAGCTATTTTCAGGTCTCTCCAGAGATGTTCGATCGGGTTCAAGTCCGGGCTCTGGCTGGGCCACTCAAGGACATTCAGAGACTTGTCCCGAAGCCACTCCTGCGTTGTCTTGGCTGTGTGCTTAGGGTCGTTGTCCTGTTGGAAGGTGAACCTTCGCCCCAGTCTGCGGTCCTGAGCTCTCTGGAGCAGGTTTTCATCAAGGATCTCTCTGTACTTTGCTCCGTTCATCTTTGCCTCGATCCTGACTAGTCTCCCTGTCCCTGCCGCTGAAAAACATTCCCCCCAGCATGAAGCTGCCACCACCGTGCTTCACCGTAGGGATGGTACCAGGTTTCCTCCAGATGTGACGCTTGGCATTCAGGCCAAAGATTTCAATCTTGGTTTCATCAGACCAGAGAATCTTGTTTCTTATGGTCTGAGAGTCTTTAGGTGCCTTTTGGCAAACTCCAAGCGGGCTGTCATGTGCCTTTTACTGAGGAGTGGCTTCCGTCTGGTCACTCTACCATAAAGGCCTGATTGGTGGAGTGCTGCAGAGATGGTTGTCCTTCTGGAAGGTTCTCCCATCTCCACAGAGGAACTCTAGAGCTCTGTCATAGTGACCATCGGGTTCTTGGTCACCTCCCTGACCAAGACCCTTCTCCCCCGATTGCTCAGTTTGGCCAGGCGGCCAGCTCTAGGAAGAGTCTTGGTGGTTCCAAATTTGTTCCATTTAAGAATTATGGAGGCCACTGTGTTCTTGGGGACCTTCAAAGCTGCAGACATGTTTTGGTACCCTTCCCCAGATCTGTGTCTCGACACAATCCTGTCTCGGAGCTCTACGGACAATTCCTTCGACCTCATGGCTTGGTTTTTGCTCTGACATGCACGGTCAACTGTGGGACCTTATATAGACAGGTGTGTGCCTTTCCAAATCATGTCCAATCAATTGAATTTGCCACAGGTGGACTCAAGTTGTAGAAACATCAAGGATGATCAATGGAAACAGGATGCACCTGAGCTCAATTTCGAGTCTCATAGCAAAAGGTCTGAATACTTATGTAAATAAGGTATTTCTGTTTTTTAAAACGTATTTCCGCTTTGTTGTTATGGGGTATTGTGTGTAGATTGCTGAGGATTTTTCTTTATTTCATCCATTTTAGAATAAGGCTGTAACGTAACAAAATGTGGAAAAAGTCAAGGGGTCTGAATACTTTCCGAAGTATGTGGACACCCTTTCAAATTAGTGGATTTGGCTATTTCAGCCACATAAAATCGAGCACACAGCCATGCAATCTCCATAGACAAACATTGGCAGTAGAATGGCCTTACTGAAGGGCTCAGTGACTTTCAACGTGGCACCGTCGTAGGATGCCACCAGCACAATAACTGTTTGTCGGGAGCTTCATGAAATAGGTTTCCATGGCCGAGCAGCCACACGCAAGCCTATCACCATGCGCAATGCCAAGCGTAGGCTGGAGTGGTGTAAAGATCGCCGCCATTGGCCTCTGGAACAGTGAAAACGCATTCTCTGGAGTGATGAATCACGCTTCACCATCTGGCAGTCCGACGGACGAATATGGGTTTGGCGGATGCCAGGAGAACGCTACCTGCCCCAATGCATAGTGCCAACTGTAAAGTTTGGTGGAGGAGGAATAATGGTCTGGGGCTGTTTTTCATGGTTCGGACTAGGCCCCTTAGTTCCAGTGAGGGGAAATCTTAACGCTACCGCATACAATGACATTCTAGAGGATTTTGTGCATCCAACTTTGTGGCAACAGTTTGGGGAAGGCCCTTTCCTGTTCAGCATGACAATGCCCCATGCACAAAGTGAGGTCCATATAGAAATGGACAGAGCCCTGACCTCAACCCCATCGAACACCTTTGGGATGAATTGGAACGCTGACTGCGATCCAGGCCTAATCACCCAACATCAGTGCCTGACCTCACTAATGCTCGTGGCTGAATGGAAGTAAGTCCCCGCAGCAATGTTCCAACATCTAGTGGAAAGCCTTCCCAGAAGAGTGGAGGCTGTTATAGCAGCAAAGGGGGGACCAACTCCATATTAATGCCCATGGTTTTGGAATGAGATGTTCGACGAGCAGGTGTCCACATACTTTTGGTCATGTGGTGTATGTATCCGAAAAGTTTTAACGGCAGGAGTACGGCTCACCAGGGCGGCGTGTGCGTAGCTGGTGCTGCCCGTGCCGATAGCCGACCCGTTGCGGGGGGGATGATGGTGGGAGTTGGTGAAAACCAGGCTCTGAGAGGAGGGGGCATCCACTCCTTCTCCCACTGGCTTCTGCAGCAGAGAGGCCAGGTCCAGACTACAGGAGACACACATACATACAATTATTACAACACATTATACTATTTCTATAACACACATACCCATTATGGAGAAAGTCTGATTAAATCAACACAGTCATAATGGGGACCATGTCTCAAGGGAAGGATCCATACATCCTTCCTAATTATTGTGCACATCCAAATGGATCTACCAAAGCAGCTGGGTCAAACATATCACTCCATGGAATAAACCTGGCAAAGAGGTCAAGCTGTTGTTTTGTGCACCACTGGGCTGGTATTGTCCCAACACCAAAAGCAGTGTTGACATGTGACGGGTGGGTGCCCTAGCTAGTTGTGCGGATGTTGAGCGGGGAGTTACCTTTGCCCAGGTGTGATGTGGTTCTGAGGTGCAGGTGCACTTGAGGCGGTGAACACTTTGGTCTCTGAGAGCTAAGGGGAGACAGAGAGAGGGTTATTGACAAATGCAATAGGCCAAGTTGTGAGACATAAGGTTAACTATAGTTTTGTTAAATGACCATCCAAAACAGCTGATCTGACAATGTCCACTTCAAGGAACGTTTCATTTGAACTAGCATAAACCTCACACTGTATGAACTAGTAAACTGTTGTACAAGGCTCGAAATTAAAACATTTCAATGGTAGCACTGGTGCTCCCAACTTTAAAAGGTTAGGAGAACAACATAAAATTCAGGAGCACCAGAAAATAAGATATTGTTTAATCGATATAGCCTATATTAATTCCAGCTACTTCTGAAGCACGTTGCTCCCTACAAACGAATATCTAACCCTGTAAATACGTTTGTTTATTATAAAAAGCTCAAATGTAATTGAAATAAAAGTCATTTGTGGAATATTAGGTTTCTACATTATGTAAAATAACAATTTTCCTATTGAGATGCATTACATAGAAAATTGTACACCTTCTCTTTAATAATAACAATAATAATAATATGCCATTTAGCAGACGCTTTTATCCAAAGCGACTTACAGTCATGTGTGCATACATTTTTACGTATGGGTGGTCCCGGGGATCGAACCCACTACCCTGGCGTTACAAGCGCCATGCTCTACCAATTGAGCTACAGAGGACAACATCTTTAAGAAAGTTTATGAGGACAACATGCAAGAGCTGTCATTCATTTATTGTTATGATCATTGATCTTCTGAAGAAGCTATCCTTTTTCCTTTCTTTCTGTGCCATCAAATGTTTGGATATACTGGTCAAGTTACCAGGTTGTTAGCTAGCTAGCTAGCTAATGAGGTAATAAAGGTTACAACAATTATTATGTGGGTGATTTTTTTTCTAGGCACACTGGACCTCCCATTTTAAAATTACAGGTCGCACACCAGAATATTAAGGAGCATATGCGACCAAAATCGTCGCACTTTACAGCCCTGGACATGTATGTGTTCCATCTGGAAAATAAATGTCAAAATGTGAACATAAGACTGAAAGCTCCTTCCACCCCCTGACCACTACTACTCCCCAGTCCCCATTACCCATTACCCAGACTCACACTCAACTCTTCGCTCCAGTCCTCAGCAGCCCAGTCCTCCAGAGTACTCCTCCAGGCCACTGCAGGGGTACACCAGAGAGGGGTCAGAGGTCAGAGGTCAGAGATGAACAGAAAGAACACAGGGGCTTATTGGAGAGGCGTTTGCGAATATGGACTGTAATTCAGGGGCATTGCTAGGGACATTTCCCTAGCAACAGTCTATAAGGTCACATTACAAATACAAAATTGCAGTAAACTATACAAGAGCATATGGGTCTTTCTATAAATAAAGGGCCCAATTTGTGACATCAGGGTCAAAATTTCAAAATAGTTTGATATACATTTAAATATGATTTTCTTGCAGCTTCACATGAGTAGTTACAGGAATAAAAGTCTAGTTAGGCACAATGAGAACATAATTCCACCTAGCAACAACAGAACATCTATATGTCATTCAAAATGTCACTTGAAACATGGACACCGCATGTTTCTTTGTCAAGCCTAGAAACAAGGTCTGTTTGTGCTTTAGTCAACTTCTCTATCATTTATAGCCATGCTAAACATTCCTGAAGAATGGAAAAGATAAACAAGAGCTTCTATATTTTGATTGATATAATAACATAATACAATAATACAGTGGGTTCTACCAAGAAAATCATTGACAATATTAATAATAATCAATAATGAAATAATCAGTAAACTCTTTAAGCATTGGTGTGCGTGTCTGAGTCTGAAAACTAGCCGTCAAATGCTTGCGTCCGCTGTCCTTGAAAGTGCATTCGAGCCCAAAGGGAGGACCTTCCTCTCAAAGCACAGTGGGGGAGAGGAGCGGAGGTGAGAAATGGAGGAAACCAGAGGAGAATCTCAATTGCATTTCCTTGAATCCTCACATCCTCTCTCCTTGACTCTTTCTCAAAACCCATTGGATAACAAGTTGAGGGGGAGGGACCTCTGACCTTCTCATCCAATGGGTTTTGAGAAAGAGACGAAGAGAGAGGATGCGACGAATCAAGGAAATGCAATTGAGATTCGCCCCTTGTTTCCTCCTAAGCTAACATCTGGAATTGTTTTAAGAATTTAGAATTCTAGCACCCCTTTAGGTATAAAAATAAATAATTAACCATTGAATTTGGCCTTACTGCTATTAGCCCATAGAAACACATTGAATAACAGATTCATACGTGGAAAAACAGATAGTCAAAAAATAAATCTAAAGGAAGTTTGTTTTAAAGTGTCTGTCCTATATCTGAGAGATATAAGATCAGGAATTTTTTTTATACCCATATTTAACAATTATTTTGGTGCACTAAACTGTGTGATTCATCACTCCAGAGAATGCGTTTTCACTGCTCTAGAGTCCAATGGCCGCAAGCTTTACACCACTCCAGCCGACGCTTGGCATTGCGCATGGTGATCTTACCTTCAGACAGGTCTTGTGATCGTCCTAGAGCAAAACAACCGACATGTATATGTTCATGAGAGTCTCACCTTTCCATAGAGAGGTCATATTAGCGTGTAGCCAAAACTGTTCGGAAGCTATAGACAGAAGTTGACAGATCGGCAGTACCAACTTCAGACTTGTGGGGGTCGTAGAGCAAAACAGAGAACACCATCCGGTTCGTGAGAGTCTCATCTTTCCATAGAGTTGTAAACCAAACCATTCAGATGCTACAGACGTTTTCGTGAGAAGACCAATTTATGGGATGTCGCATGGTCTGACACACCGCTGTAGCTCAGCCACCTTCCACCGCAGATGCGGAAGGCCACCATTGGCAGATGCAGTGGATTGAGACGCAGTCCATGCAAAAAAAACAGATATTGTTCCCTCCGACACATCAGTGCGGCTGGCTTCCGGGTTAAGCGAGCAGTGTGTCAAGTAGCAGTGCGGCTTGTCAGGGTCGTGTTTCGGAGGACGCATGGCTCTCGACCTTCACCTCTCCCGAGTCCGTACGGGAGTTGCAGCGATGGGACAAGACTGTAACTACCAATTGGATATCACGAAATTGGGGAGAAAAAGGGGTAAAAAGTACAAAAAAACAAACAAAAAACAAACAAACAAAAAAACAGATATCTAGCTTAGACTGATTTAGATGGGGATTATTATTATTATGCTAATTAGATTAGTTATTCTCTGTGTGAAGCCTCACCTGTCCCGTCTGTGCTGTTGCTGTTGTTGGCCCCTGTCTCCCAAGCGTCACCTTGTGTGGTCCCTGTCCCCTGTTCTGGGGTGTAGTCCGCTGGGTTAAAGGTCCTGAGGAGAGGGAGAGAGAGAATGAGGGTAGGTGTGGTTTAGGTTTAAGAAAAACTGGTGTACGAGGAACCAAAAAAGGACAGTTGTGTGTGTACGAGTTTGTATGTGTTTGTGTATTACAGAACTCACCCCATTCCCTGGGCTGAGAACCTGCTTCCCGCTGGCGCCCTGCCCCTTCCTCTGCCTCCAGACCCAACTGAACCACACAGACCCGCACAAGCTCAACACACAGTAAGCATGGCACCAGAAAAATGGTGTGAAGTTAAGAGAGCACCTAAGTTACCTGGGAGTGTTGACTGGAACATATGAGAAAGTGCCACTAATTGACACTCACCTCTACCCCCTCTTCCCCCCCTGCGACCTCGCTCTGACCCTCTGTCCAAAGGGCCAGGGCCCGCCTCCATACCATTTTCCTCTGGCCGCACTGCACAGAGAGACCAAGAGAGCGAAGGAGCGAGAAAGCGAGGGGGAGAGGGACAAAGAGGGAGACAGAGAGAGAGGGATAGCGATAGAGATGGAGAGAGAAGTAGGGAGAGACCAACAGAGAGAGGATTTAGTGATTAAGGTCAGTACATAGAATAGGCGGCAAAGCTATGTGCTGCCTAGTAAGCAATTCTGCTGAATAGTGCATTGATGGCGAATGAATTGCTTAATGACAAATTGGCTGGCTGTTCATTCTTAGTATGTGCTCTATGTAGTGTTCTCTAATCCAAAGTATCGCCAATGAGAATAAACACTGACTGTAAATGTACTAACCACACCATGGTTGAATAACTCAAATCCTTGACAGCTTACTGACTTCTCATTCTTCCAGGCTCTTAGGTAATCAATTAGGCCTAGTGGTATAGTGCCTCGTTTATTAACATATGCATAGAATTTGAGAGATTCCGTGGCCCCCTAACCTCTCTCAACCTGGCGACTGCGGTTGCTGGCCCCCCTGCCTCTCCGATTGCTCCCCCCGCGGCCCCTGCTGCCCTCTCTCTCTCCTCCCTTCTTCTCCCGGTTCTCCTTGCCCTCCGCCGGGCCGTCCTTCGCTAGGGGTTTCTTCTTCCCAACTGTCTCCCATGAGGTCTGAGAGAGATAGAGAATGTATGAGCCTATTAGAGACACATATTTCCCTCAGACCCACAAAGAATTAAAAAACAAACCCAATTTTGATAAACTCCCATTTCTATTGGGTGAAATACCACAGTGTGCCATCACAGCATCAAGATTTATGACCTGTTGCCACAAGAAAAGGGCAACCAGTGAAGAACACCATTGTAAATACAACCCATATTTATTTCCCCATTTGTACTTTAACTATTTGCACATAATATGACATTTGAAATGTCTTTATTCTTTTGGAGTGTAATGTTTACTGTATAAAAAAAAAAAAAAAATGTATTTCACTTAAATGTATTATCGATTTCACTTGCTTTGGCAATGTAAACATGTTTCCCATGCCAATAAAGCCCTTAAATTGAAATTGAATGAGAGAGACTGACTTTTGATCTCTCCTTATTGATCCTAATTTGCTTTGAGAGAGAGCGAGGGGGAGGAAAAGGGAAATGGAGGTGAGAGAAGGGGAGAGGAGATGCGATTGGAGAGGAGGGGAAAGAGTGGAAAAGACCTACAGACTGCAGGAATAAAAGTTAAGTCAAATCTTACAAAGTCTACAACTGCTTGAACTTCTTCCTTTCCCATTAACTTCAAAGTCCAAAATAGTCAATGTAAGATAAAAAATGGATGGATGGAATTGACACGTATGTTTTTGGCCTCTGTACTCCTCCTTCTGCAGTGTCTCAATGTCATTGACAAATCAAAGTGTTAATGACCACAGGGCAGGCAGGCAGCAGAAGCTGATTATATCATGGGAGGATTACATACATAGGAGCAAAATGACCCACTTTCTATTTCAGGACATCCAAGAAACAACAGTGTAACTGTAGTGGAGATCTCTCTCATTTCACCATCTGTGCTGCTGTGCCCTCCTCTGAAATGCCTGGATTATTTTACTACTGAATCTGGCGCTGACAGAAAAAGTGACAAGTGTTGTTCATCCTAGATTCAGAGGCTATAATACTTTTTCTATTGCTCTCCTGAAAAAAAAAGTCCCCCTGGCACAGTTGCCACAAGCCCCTAGTTTCAGTTTCCTTGGATAGATGGGGCTTGATTGGAAGGGGCTGTGGCAAGGGTCATTAAGAGATCCATTGCCTGAAGCACATTTAAAAGTCTTTAGGCTGATTCAATCCACTGTAGATACAATTACTGTATTAAGGACATTATGTCATCTGTCCAGTAGAAAACGTAAAAACATATTTCCGTCACTTATGCCACTGCACAGCCCCTATCAGATCTGTGCTCCAACTCTAACAGATGTAGATCAAATCAAATTCTATTTGTCAAATGCGCCGAATACAAAAGGTGTAGACCTTACCGTGAAATGCTTACTTACGAGCCCTTAACCAACAATGCAGAGTTTTAAAAATGTAAGTAAGAAAAATGTGCTAAATAACCTAAAGGAAAAATAGTAACACAAAATAACAAGGCTATATACAAGCGGTACCGGTACTGAGTCAATTTGCAGGGGTAGGGGTTAATCGAGGTAATTGAGGTAATGCGTACATGTAGGTAGGGATAAAGTGACTATGCCTAGATAATAAACAGAGAGTAGTAGCAGCGTATGTGAAGAGTGTGAAGGAATGTGCATTCGGAAAGTATTCAGACCCCTTGAGTTTTTCCACATTTGGTTACGTTACAGCCTTATTCTAAACTTGATTAAAATATTTTTGTCCTCATCAACCTACACACAATAACCAATAATGACAAAGCAAAAACAGTTTTTATTTTCTTTTGCAAATGTATAAAAATAAAAAACGGAAATATTTTATTTACATAAGTATTCAGACCCTTTACTCAGTACTTCGTTGAAGCACCTTTGGCAGCTATTACAGCCTCGTCTTCTTGGATATGACTCTACAAGCTTGGCACACCTGTATTTGGGGAGTTTCTCCCATTCTTCTCTGCTGATCCTCTCAAGCTCTGTCAGGTTGGAAGGGGAGCGTTGCTGCACAGCTATTTTCAGGTCTCTCCAGAGATGTTTGATCGGGTTCAAGTCCGGGCTCTGGCTGTGCCACTCAAGGACATTCAGAGAATTGTCCCGAAGCCACTCCTGCGTTGTCTTGGCTGTGTGCTTAGGGTAGTTGTCCTGTTGGAAGGTGAACCTTCGCCCCCAGTCTGAGGTCCTGAGCGCTCTGGAGCAGGTTTGCATCAAGGATCTCTCTGTACTTTGCTCCGTTCATCTTTCCCTCGATCCTGGCTAGTCTCCCAGTCCCTGCCGCTGAAAAACATCCCCCAGCATGATGCTGCCACCACCATGCTTCACCGTAGGGATGGTGCCAGGTTTCCTCCAGATGTGACGCTTGGTTCAATCTTGGTTTCATCAGACCAGAGAATCTTGTTTATCATGGTCTGAGTCCTTTAGGTGCCTTTTGGCAAACTCCAAGCGGGTTGTCATGTGCCTTTTACTGAGGAGTGGCTCCCGTCTGGCCACTCTACCATAAAGGCCTGATTGGTGGAGTGCTGCATAGTTGGTTGTCCTTCTGGAAGATTCTCCCATCTCCACAGAGGAACTCCGAGTGACCATCGGGTTCTTGGTCACCTCCCTGCCGGGCGGCCAGCTCTATGAGGAGTCTTGGTGGTTCCAAGAACAAGAATAGACTGATGAGTTTCAGAAGAAAGTTATTTGTTTCTGGCCATTTTGAGCCAGTAATCGAACCCACAATTGCTGATGCTCCAGATACTCAACTAGTCTCAAGAAGGCCAGTTTTATTGCTTCTTTAATCAGCACAACAGTTTCCAGCTGTGCTAACATAGTTGAAAAAGGGTTTTCTAATGATCAATTAGCCTTTTAAAATGATAAACTTGGATTAGCAAACACAACGTGCCATTGGAACACAGGACTGATGGTTGCTGATAATGGGCCTCTGTACGCCTATGTAGATATTCCGTTAAAAATCAGCCGTTTCCAGCTACAATAGCCATTCACAACATTAACAATGTCTACACTGTATTTCTGATCAATTTTATTTTAATGGACAAAAAAAAATGATTTTCTTTTGACAACAAGGACATTTCTAAGTGACCCCAAACTTTTGAACGGTAGTGTATCTGTTTTTTATGTCTAAATACCTGTTTTCGCTTTGTCATAATGGGGTATTGTGTGTAGATTGATGAGAACATTTTTTATTGAATCAATTTTAGAATAAGGCTGTAACGTAACAAAATGTGGAAAAAGTCAAGGGGTCTGAATACTTTCCGAATGCACTGTACGTGTGTGTGGCGTCAATATGCATGTGTGTGTGTGTGTTTTGTGTGTGTCCATGTGTTGGAGTGTCAGTTTAGTATGTGTGAGTGTGTGGTTAAGAGTCCAGTACAAAAAAGCTATGTAGCAACTGGTTAGATTCCATACCATGTTACCACCAGCCACTCCACTCTCCTGAGTCAACAATGAGCATCACTAAACCAGAAAACAAAGGCAGAAAAGCTCAGCTGTTATGGTTCGGGTGACAGCTACTTCAGGGTGGTATTTATTAGGAAAACAAAGTGTTTGAGGTGACGCTAAGTTAGCGATGACTAACCGCCCGAAGGAAAGAGGCTGAAGGAAATTGAAAGGTAGCGTTAGAGTCAGTCCCCTCTGCCCTACCGTGTCAGAGGTGCTCTCAAGGAGGAAGTTGATGGCTCTGTTGACATCCTCATTGCAGTCGTGGAGAGCTACCATGCACTCGTCCTGGGTCTTTCCTGTCACCTCCATCAGCTGTGGACATACACACACATCTGAGTGCTTTATTTGAATCCAAATAAACATAATAGAATATACACTGAGTGTACAAAACATAAGGAACATCTTCCTAATATTGAGTTGCCCCCCCCCTCCCCCTTTGCCCTCAGAACAGCCTCAATTCATCGGGACATGGACTCTACAAGGTGTCGAAAGCATTCAAGTTGGCTGGATACATAGTCACAGAACGGGAGGGGGGGAATCTATCATAGACTAACAGTCAGTATTAGAAAAAGAGAGGGTCTTAGATTTGAGGTGAAAAACCAGAAGTTGTCTAAAATTGACAAAATAATTAGTTTTTGGTCTTTTCTTTTTCTAGCACATGCAGTCACAGGTATTATCACTTAATGTGAAACAAACACCACAACACACACAGTCCATCATTCAGAGCTGGCACAATGGCCTCGGCAATGCCCGCCCACTCACCTGGTTCACTTTGTCCTCAAATTCAGCATCATTCTTGTCATAGATCATCTGGGCGAGCCGGATCTGCTCTGCAGTCGCCTGCAGAATGGATGAGAAGGAAGTGGGGGAGGATGTGAAGATGAGAAGTGGGAAAGGAACAGAGGGAGGAGAGAAGGACTCCTGAGTGGCGCAGTGGTCTAAGGCACTGCATCGCAGTGCTAACTGTGCCACTAGAGATCCTGGTTCGAATCCAGGCTCTGTCGCAGCCGGCCGCGACCGGGAGACTCATGGGCGGCGCACAATTGGCCCAGCGTCGTCCAGGGTAGGGGAGGGAATGGCCGGCAGGGATGTAGCTCAGTTGATAGAGCATGGCGTTTGCAACGCCAGGGTTGTGGGTTCAATTCCCACGGGGGGCCAGTATAAAAAAAATATATATATATATATAATAATATGTATTCACTAACTGTAAGTCGCTCTGGATAAGAGCGTCTGCTAAATGACTAAAATGTAAATGTAAAATGTAAGGAGAGGGAGAAGTTTTGTTTTGGATAAATTATTTACCACCTGAAGACCCGCTATGTATGATTGAGCAAGTGAGTCGTACTGTGTGCGTGTCAGTGTTTTCCACAAGCATATGGAATAGCCAGCCAAATAGAAGGGGGGGGCCTGCCCCACCGGGTTAAGAAATGTTTGCCAAACAAGCTCTATTTTGGTGGCCTCTGGTACATTCAAATACTAGATTGTATTTTCAACCAGCAACTATCAGGAAATAACATTGATCACATTTTTTCACACTTTTACAGTGTTAGTTTCATCAGCTCTTATACAATATTATATAAAACACAGGAAAAATGTATTTTGACTGCACTGGGCCTTTAAAGAATCCTTTAAGTTTACTACTCCATTGTCAACACTTTGATTAAATCAGAAGACCTACAGTCAATGTTCCCTCTACGCTGCACGCATAGTAGCCCCGAGACTGTCGCGCAGCTCCCCAGGACTACCGCGCAGAGAGAAGCACCAGATTGAACTTCACTCAACTTTCTAGAGCAGTGGTCACCAACCGGTCGATCTCCAAGGCATTCCTAGTCGATCGCCAAACATTCTGTATGTTTGGCGAATAGGTGCACCCGATTCAGCTGCCCTGCGCGCCGGGTAGGCGAACTGTTGCCATTTTGAACCATTTCATGTATCTGAAGGTACAAACTCTGCCTTCCCGGCAGACCCAGAGAGCAAATCAAGTGCACTATAGGCCTACCGCTGGCCAATTGGATCAGATGACCGTGTCTGCAGTAAAGTAGCAGGCATAAAAGAAAGCTACAGCAAAGTTGATACTGTGAGATTTCAAAACATTTAAAACCATTACTAGAGAGAGACTTGTCAACGAATACAGCAAAGAGATGATGTTTTTATGAGTGAGTTCATGTTTAAGTTCTTACTCAGCACTGTCAACACTTTGTATTCAACACTTTTATAAGCCATAAAATGCACGTTCTTCCTATTTCCACTCAGCGCTACAACAAGCACTGCAGCAGTAATGAATTAGTACGAAAGTGCATCTATAGGCTTGCGTTGTTGTTATTATTAGCGGCCTGGGTCTTATTTAATATTGAGAAATATTTAACTTTCTCTGTTCATAGGAGTAACAACATTAATTTGTGCATGAGGCTGGTTTGAGAGGCGGACCCTCAGTCTGCTGCCCTCTCCCTCCGCTGAGACTGACCAACAGATGCAGGCACCATCAGCGCGATAAAATCAAAGTAAAAAGCAAATTATTTAAAAGGTATGTGCTTCACAAGTAATACATCAACGGATCTATTTCCGGTGTGATCATATAGCCTACCACAAATGTTTTAATATCATTTTTATAAATGGCCCGAACAACAATGCATTGGCAGGGCAATTAAAGCCAAGCTTATATGCAGTGATAATGTATTGGGCCTATAGCTTACTGCACAAACCTCATTGCTACAGTACTGTTTTTAATTGGTTAATGTTGCATAGGTTTATGTTTTTTAAGTCATGTTAAAAAAAATCTAAACAGTAGATCTAGGCTTGCATTTTGACCCAAAGTGATCTTGACTCAGAAAAGGTTGGTGACCACTGAGTTTTCCCTGTTAACACTATCAACGTTTCCCTTTACTGGGACTATTGTGATCGAATCAATGCAATATTAGTCACTTTCAATGCAAAATACCAAAACAAAGCGAACTATGCAAGAGATTTTGTTGTAGGCAGAACGCATTAGAGTAGGATTCTATTGCATTGACATACACTACTCAGCCCGTACTCTACGCAGACCGGTGTGGCATAAACAATCCGAGCTGCAGTAAGCATATATGCAAATAGACCATTGCCATATATGGATCTGTACCATTTACTTTGACTGTGTTTACAGCATGAGCGGTCGTGAGTAGGATGCACTTGTTTTGAGATCAAAGCGAGAGCTGCATGTAGCCACGTGTACACATTTTGTTCATATCCTTTGCTAGTTAGTGAGTTATTAGCCCAGTTATAGATAATTTGTAGTCAGTAATAGGAGACTGATTGCTTCCTACAAGAGCACAAAACGTATACATTTCTAGACATCTTTGAAAAGCGAGTGAGGTAAAGAGCTTTTTGGGGGGGGTCTTAAAAGGGCAGTGTTGTATTTTGAGACAGGCTTGAATAAGCTAAGTAGCCAATAGGCAGAGGGTAGCATAATTGTGACTCGTTTCAGGAAAGTAGGCGTATGTCGCAAGTCACGACTTCACAGGAGAGGCATTTGAACGTTTTCTTTTCTTCATAAATGCCATCTGGAACATTTTAACTTTCATGTGCCTTAATAACAAATGTGTATGCCATCTGTAAATACTAATAAAGTTGTTAAATTACGAGTCTAATTGGTTTAGCCACAGAAAAAGACAGGAACCTTCCCGCTAGCCATGATTGGCTGAGATAATGAATGTGCTGGACATGCCGAGATGAGTTTCGGATTGGTCTGCCGTGTAGCATCTTCTTCTGTCTATAAAATGAGCTGCTTGTTATGTGTAGATAATCCTTTCTACTGCAGTTTTTTCGTGCAACCGTGGTATCCTTAACAGAGAGGGAGAAAGATCTGATGATTCTTATGGCATTGCACACGGTCAGTGTGAACCAGAGTGACTTGACAGAACGGGCCAAGCAAGCTGTACAAACAAAACAGAAACGACACAGGACTTCCTATTTAACGAAAGGCGTTGCAGTCTGCCGAGAAGCGTTCATCAATGTATACTGGTAAGAGTCTAGCTACAGTTTCAGATATTATACGTTTCTAATTTTGGTGGCTGGCTAAAGCCAGTTAACGTTAGGTGGCTGGCTTGCTAGCTAACATTACGTGTATGATCTGTGTGTAATATTATCTCAGAAAGCCATTTGTATTGCTAGTTATAGCCTAATGTTAACTAGCTAACATTGAACCTATTTGGTTAACTTTAGCTAGCTATGACAATTGGTTTGTATTGCTAGTACTCTAAGGATTGGATTATGGTTCATTCTTTAGCTATCTAGCTAGCTACATCTAAACAAAAGACTCCACTTCGCCAGGTTACAGCTATCTATTGTATAATAATAATGCTAAAATATTTGTGTCTGGAATTTGTCTTTCAGCATCAGTAGAACACACCTGACTCTCCTCCACCAGTCATACAAGGAGAATGGTCTAATGCCGGCCATCAAAAAGACAGCTGGCCCAAGCAAGCACAGTCCCGTGTAGCTCAGTTGGTAGAGCATGGTATTTGCAACGCCAGGGTTGTGAGTTCGATTCCCATGGGGGGCCAGTATGAAAATGTATGCACTCACTAACTGTAAGTCGCTCTGGATAAGAGTGTCTGCTAAATGACTAAAATGTAAATGTAAATGTTACACCTGAAGCATGAGGACTTGCAGCGAGTTGTGAACTTCAACAACTACGCAGAGGATAATGCAATAGTCTTACCAGGATGCCACCCAGGACACAAACACTTTAGTGGAAAGCTGCTGCCATCTCATGTGACAATAGCAGCGGTGTGGCGTCTCTACAAAAAATCGATGGCGACACTTGGTATGTAAAGCATAAACATGTTTTGATTATTTAATTTACCTCCAACATGATTGGCACTACTTTTATTGATCTCAAATTATTTCTGTATTTTCCAGAGGTACGTGTAGTCGGGCTGTCTTCCTTCAGGAATCTGTGGAGAAAATTGCTGCCCCACATCTCAAGCACTAAGCCCAGGACAGACCTGTGCTGGCAGTGCCAGAGGAACGACTAACTGGTCTTCAGATCTGCCAATCTGCCAGAAGCTGTTAAGTCAGCCAAGCTGAAGAAGCAAGAGCAGCATCTCCTGCTTGTTCAGAGTGAGCGGTCTGTCTACCAGAAGATGGTTGCTGACTGCAAGACCCCCTGTCAAGACCTGCAGTTGTCTCTGGGGGGCCATACTGAACCAGCAAGCAGAGACATCAGGATGCATTACAGATTTGATTTTACTCAATAAGTAAGCAACATTTCCTCCTTTATACTGATTAAGGACATAGATAGATACATATACACACACACAAAAAAAGAATATATACAGTGCCTTCGGAAAGTATTCAGACCCCTTGACTTTTTCCACATTTTGTTACCTTACAGCTTTATTCTAAAATTGATTAAATAAAAAAACATCCTCAGCAATCTACACACAACACCCCATGATGACAAAGCGAAAACAGGTTTTTAGAAATGTGTGCACATTTATAAAAAAATTAAAAAGGTCCCACAGTTGACAGTGCATGTCAGAGCAAAAACCAAGCCATGAGGTCAAAGGAATTGTCCGTAGAGCTCCGAGACAGGATTGTGTCGAGGCACAGATCTGGGGAAAGGTACCAAAAAATGTCTGCAGCATTGTAGGTCCCCAAGAACACAGTGGCCTCCAACATTCTTAAATGGAAGATGTTTGGAACCACCAAGACTCTACCTAGAGCTGGCCGCCCGGCCAAACTGAGCAATTGGGGGAGAAAGGCCTTGGTTAGGCAGGTGACCAAGAACCTGATGGTCACTCTGACAGAGTTCTAGAGTTCCTCTGTGGAGATGGGAGAACCTTCCAGAAGGACAACCATCTCTGCAGCACTCCACCAATCAGGCCTTTATGGTACAGTGGCCAGACGGAAGCCACTCCTCAGTAAAAGGCACATGACAGCCCGCTTGGAGTTTGCCAAAAGGCACCAAAAGACTCTCAGACCATGAGAAACAAGATTCTCTGGTCTGATGAAACCAAGATTGACCTCTTTGGCCTGAATGCCAAGGGTCACGTCTGGAGGAAACCTGGCACCATCCCTACAGTGAAGCACGGTGGTGGCAGAATCATGCTATGGGGATGTTTTTCAGCGGCAGAGACTGGGAGACTAGTCAGGATCGAGGGAAAGATTAACAGCTCAAAGTACAGAGAGATCCTTGATGAAAACCTGCTCCAGAGCGCTCAGGACCTCAGACTGGGACAAAGGTTCACCTTCCAACAGGACAACGACCCTAAGCACACAGCCAAGACAACGCAGGAGTGGCTTCGGGACAAGTCTCTGAATGTCCTTGAGTGGCCCAGCCAGAGCCCGGACTTGAACCCGATCTCTCTGGAGAGACCTGAAAAATGCTGTCCAGCAACGCTCCCCATCCAACCTGAAAATAAGTATTTGGTCACCTACAAACAAGCAAGATTTCTGGCTCTCACAGACCTGTAACTTCTTCTTTAAGAGGCTCCTCTGTCCTCCACTCGTTACATGTATTAATGGCACCTGTTTGAACTTGTTATCAGTATAAAAGACACCTGTCCACAACCTCAAACAGTCACACTCCAAACTCCACTATGGCCAAGACCAAAGAGCTGTCAAAGGACACCAGAAACAAAATTGTAGACCTGCACCAGGCTGGGAAGACTGAATCTGCAATAGGTAAGCAGCTTGGTTGGAAGAAATCAACTGTGGGAGCAATTATTAGGAAATGGAAGACATACAAGACCACTGATAATCTCCCTCGATCTGGGGCTCCACGCAAGATCTCACCCCGTGGGGTCAAAATGTTTACAAGAACGGTGAGCAAAAATCCCAGAACCACACGGGGGGACCTAGTGAATGACCTGCAGAGAGCTGGGACCAAAGTAACAAAGCCTACCATCAGTAACACACTACGACGCCAGGGACTCAAATCCTGCAGTGCAAGACGTGTTCCCCTGCTTAAGCCAGTACATGTCCAGGCCCGTCTGAAGTTTGCTAGAGTGCATTTGGATGATCCAGAAGAGGATTGGGAGAATGTCATATGGTCAGATGAAACCAAAATAGAACTTTTTGGTAAAAACTCAACTCGTCGTGTTTGGAGGACAAGGAATGCTGAGTTGCATCCAAAGAACACCATACCTACTGTGAAGCATGGGGGTGGAAACATCATGCTTTGGGGCTGTTTTTCTGCAAAGGGACCAGGACGACTGATCCGTGTAAAGGAAAGAATGAATGGGGCCATGTATCGTGAGATTTTGAGTGAAAACCTCCTTCCATCAGCAAGGGCATTGAAGATGAAACGTGGCTGGGTCTTTCAGCATGACAATGATCCCAAACACACCGCCCGGGCAACGAAGGAGTGGCTTCGTAAGAAGCATTTCAAGGTCCTGGAGTGGCCTAGCCAGTCTCCAGATCTCAACCCCATAGAAAATCTTTGGAGGGAGTTGAAAGTCCGTGTTGCCCAGCGACAGCCCCAAAACATCACTGCTCTAGAGGAGATATGCATGGAGGAATGGGCCAAAATACCAGCAACAGTGTGTGAAAACCTTGTGAAGACATACAGAAAACGTTTGACCTGTGTCATTGCCAACAAGGGGTATATAACAAAGTATTGAGAAACTTTTGTTATTGACCAAATACTTATTTTCCACCATAATTTGCAAATAAATTCATTAAAAATCCTACAATGTGATTTTCTGGATTTTCTTTTCTCATTTTGTCTGTCATAGTTGACGTGTACCTATGATGAAAATTACAGGCCTCTCTCATCTTTTTAAGTGGGAGAACTTGCACAATTGGTGGCTGACTAAATACTTTTTTCCCCCACTGTACATGCACCATTTCTTCACCAACTACGGAGTTGGGGAAACACGTGTGAAGCTGAATTGTGACAACTGCACTGGCCAAAACAAGAACAAGATTGTGCCTGGTGGACCATGCACAAACTCCACCACAGTCTGGACCTTCACTTCCTGATCACAGGCCACACCAAGTTTGCCCCCGACTGGTGCTTCGGCCTCATCAAGCAGCGCTTCAGAAAGACCAGAGTGAACACTTTGTCCAAGATTGCTGGTGTTGTGAAAGACAGCACTGTGACAGGGGTCAACATCCCACAGCTAGTTGGACTGGAGGATGGTACGGTGCTGGTGGAAAGCAATGGCTGGCAACAACACCTGACTCCGTACTTCAGGCCGCTGCCACAGATCAAGCAGTTCAAGCACTTCAGGTGAATATCATTTTCATTGCATTGTATGGGGTTATTCTTCTTATCTAAACTTGGGAGGTGAATTGATGTTATGCAAGGTTGGAATGTCTTAATTGTTTTTTGTTATTTTCTGTTTTACAGCTTCGATGCTCTGGAGCCTAGTGTTGCTGTCACCAAGGAGCATTTTGACTCAGTCGGGACCAGGTTTCAGCTGCTGTGCAACGCTGACATCCTTCCTCTCATAGATGGTCTGCCTGTACAAGCACCACCTGGACTGGACAAAGCTAGACTAACTTATCTTTTGAGAAGATCAGGGAGTTTTGCGACAAAGAGGCTATGGATATCACATGCCCTGCATCAAAGTCAAGGACAGGACAGAAACAGGCTCTCCGAATGTAGATTCCCTTGTTCTTGAGTGGTTCGGACGGACAAGTTCATCACTGGGGGCGAGTTCCCAGTCATCAGCACTCTCTTCAGTGCCTCTATTCACGACTCTCTCCTAACACACACGCCATACGTTGCTGCTACTATATAATTTTTTTTATCCTGCTACTCAGCCACTTTACCCTTTATTGTATGCATATAACTACCTGATCTATCACCAGTATCACTGATATGGTTATTGATATTTTTCTTGTACATACTGTTTATTATGTAATTATTTCTCTACTGGCATTGACACTTGTTCTTTTATATATATATATATATATATATATATATATATATATATATAGACACTATCTATTTTTGATATTGCTACTATGTCATCTAATATTTATAAAATATTTATATCTGGACACTTTGTTTACCTGGAATTTTTCCTTATTGTAGGCTACTACATCTACCAATTTTAGTCTTAATCTTTACTCCACTACTCACTGTTTAGCACATGACCTCACATGTGAATCGTTAAAGAGATGGGTGGAGCTGTCTTAAGAGGGTATGAACAATGCGGAATGGGTGTAAACAAAGTAGAGCTCTCCAGTAGGTGTACCAAAACATTCAAAGGGCCATTTTCTCAAAAGTGGGGTTACAAGTTTACCAACTTTCAAAGCAGAATTACTTTCCCATTGTTCCTCAAATGCAGTGTATGATATACCATTTTGTAGCTCTGTGTCTCTGCTTTTATCCAATGTAAAAAACACAATTTCAAATTTTGCTACTAAAGACCGAATCAAGGCGGTCGGTCACAATTTGTCTGATTCTCTGTAATAATGGTATGGGAATAATAATGCATTAAATTTTGTAAAGTGGTTTCTTGCATCAAACAACAACATTTTCAGTCACCTCCTTGTCTGAAGGACAACTGGATAAACAGGTTAATGTCAAGCCCTGCATGTTTCTTTCCAAACGTCTCATGGAATGTAGGCCTTCATTGAACACCACACATTGGCTGCTACTGTAGGCTGAATGATAGAACAGCTATTTCATTATACATTTTAGTCATTTAGCAGACGCTCTTATCCAGAGCGACTTAGAGTTAGTGAGTGGATACATTTTCATACTGGCCCCCCGTGGGAAACGAACCCACAACCCTGGCGTTGCAAGCGCCATGCTCTACCAACTGAGCTACAGGGGACATGTTAAAATGTTATGGGATGCATTTTTTCCATTGATTTTGATGGTAGGTCACTCTGGTAGGCCTACATTATGATCAA